GAACTCTTACCGCCTTGCCTTGTTCCTTGTTGGACAATAATACTATCAGATATCAATCCTTGACAACGAACTTGACATTCTGAATTGACATACAACGAATATAGAGATGCAAATGTAATGCAGTCAACACCATACTTAAAAAGTTTGTAAAACAGTCCGTTATGCCAAACGTGGTCAAAAGCCTCTTTTCCATCCAAGTAGCATACATTTACCTTCGAGGAATTTTCTTTTGCAAAGTGGATGCATTCTCGAAACATAAAAGAAGTCATAAAAATCCAAGACCCCGCTGAAAACCACATTGCTGTCTCGCTAACTTGTTTTGTAAGTCTTCGGCACATCTATTAAAGAGCATTACTTCGTACATTTTAAGAATACAGGATGATAATGTAATTGCTCTATAACAGTTAGGGTCGTCTTTCTTTTTGTTCCCTGCTTTGTGTAACGTAATGATTATACCTCTCTTCATATATTTTGGTATAAAAGCGTGACGTAACATGTTCGTAAATCAAATAGCTAAAATTGGGGAAATTATCTCTTTGCTTAATCGTAAATGCTCGTACACGTACACGATACCATCTGGGCCGCCATATTTTCCATTCGGAAGAGTTTTGATAGCATCCTCTACACAAACAGACGTAGTATGCGCTCTTTGATCAGATCCATATGACGTCATCACTTCATCAACTGTCACATCTACAAAGTCTTTCCAATTATCATCAAAGTATTCGGATTCAGACATTTATAAAGGATTTCTAAGTACAATTTCTATCGGTATTGTACTTCTTTAAGGGCTTCTGGACAAGTGGTAATGGTAACTGGAAGTTACCCTTGTTCTTGTTTGGGTTGTTGTTCGTCTGATATCACAATGTTATATTTACTTGTATTGATTGTACAGTGTTTTTGGGTTTGTCTTTTGTTAATTAAGCTACACGCCTTCAGATGTTCCATATACTTATAACTTCTTAAAAATCAATCTTAGGTTAGTAGATTGTTGATGGTTATAATTTACTTTTTTCGTGGGTCTTTACGGTGAAGGGATTCTGAAGGCTGGTTTTAATGTTTGTATGTATACTTGTTTATATTTATGCATTAATGTTCTTTTGTGTGTTTGTGTTTCTCTTTAATTTGTTGTTTTGCTTAATTTTTGCTTTTTTGGTCTAGGAGTTGGCGGATTCGTTGTATTTCATATTAGTTGTTTAAGCAGTTATAGGTCACTGTAACATTTTCCTGTGAAAGGATTTGATACATCAGGTGACTTTCTGTTCTAATGAAATTATCTTATCTAGTTGAGTTTAATAAGATATTCATTAAGTGAATTAATTATTATCATGCTTTTGTGTTTAACGTGTCTGCTTGCTCTATTAAAAATCATTATTGTTTATTATTGTGTTTCTGGTTATTTCATAATTTGAAGCATTTTTGTTTACGAATAAAATCTTTTAATTATGGAATATAACAGGCCTTTTGATTGCTTATTTTGTAAGGTAATAGGTTACTAGAAAATGATATTATGACAGGTTAAAGGTCAAATTGTATTACTACTCTAGTGCTTATAAATATATAGTTTTTGCGCCATTCTTGTTACAGTTTTGTCAGACACCTTTGAGATTAGACGCTTTTTCAAATTTGCCACTCCCACCCACCCTAGTTTTGTTTTCAATTTTTGCTTTTTTAAAATTTGCTTCCTTGTGTTGTTAAAGTTTATGTAATGTTGTCTGCTTTATTTGTAAATTGTATGCTTGTTATTAACATTGTGGTGAGCTTTTCAGTAAATATTGTTATATATAAATGGAGGGTATTTCTTTTATGCGGATTTGATGTAATTTATACTAGTTGTTTAAGTAGTTATAGGTGAATATTAAATCAAAATTATGCTAAAACTCCCTTTAAAAAGGCTCAATTTTTTGTAAAGCACTGCGATGAAACAGGTCTCTATTAACTCAAACATGTTACCAGACACCTTACATTACCAGGCAAAGTTTGAGTCATAAAATAAAACCATATATGAGCCGGCAGAAAATAACAGGCCTTAAAAAATTTACCTTTTACAATTTCGGAATTTTGGTCAAGTTTAAATAAAAGGCGTGATTCCGCCTCGAGAAAAGATGGTATTACCTACCTGCCTGGGCGGGGGGGGTGGTGCTGGACATCTGGCTTAGGCTGTATAACCGGGTGTGGAGTGAGGGGATTTTTACCCCGAGGCCTGGAAGGTATATAAGCCTGAATAAAATCTAGTCATTCTAAATTTAGAATTGCATTCCGGGTTTGTAATCCCTAATAATTTCGAGATATTTTGTTCAGGATAAACTTGTTGAATAATTTAGCGAAAGTCTTCTCGCCGAAACAGTCCGACATGCAGAATCAATATATTCCACTACTCGGCAGTCAGATTTATTTGTGTAGTATTCGGTAATCGACATCGATAAAAATAGCATTTTCATTGATTTAAATCAAATTCATCCGCGTAATTTGTGATTGTGCATTTACTGACAAATCTATAAGACAACGCTACTTTTAAACTTTGAATGCGTTGTAATTTGTTGGTTACTTGTAACAAAATAAAAATATTTCTTTCTTTAAATCGCTACTTTACGCTGTTTTGAGAACTACTTGTTGTTAGGTTTGTCGTGAAATTCTGTGTCAGAGATTGAATGTCAGCTTTGTATTTACTGACCTTCGGTCAGAAAATACAAAAATGGCAAGGACAAAATGAACCAAAATCTTATAGACCCATAAGCCTTACATCTCACTCAAGGAAATTGCTTAAGGAAATGGTTAAGGCCCGTTTAGAATAAAAATTATAAACTCCTTTCAATTTGGCTTTAGAAAGGGGAGGAGCACTTTAGACCAACTTGCTCAACTACAGCAAGACGTGATCTCAGCAAACGACCACGAGATCACGACAAGTGCTTGAAATCTTTTTGAACCTGACGGCAGCTTTTCATCTTACCTGGCACTTCGGTTTTTTTGTATAGATTAAAAAAACATGGTGCCTGCTTCCAGTATCTATGGTCATTCATGGAGTGCAGGAAGATATCGGTTCAAGTTGAGGGCACAATGTCTGACACAGAGCTAGTGGAGCGTGGCACACCCCAGGGCTCGATCCTTTACTTTTTTCTATTATAATTAACGGCTTACCAGAATCTCTCTGGTTCTGGAATGGTTATTAGCCAGTTCGCCAATGACTCCAGCACCTGGAAATCAGGGTCCAATCTGGTTAAGCTAGCCAAGGATGCACAAGCTGGTATGGACTCTCTATGGAGGTGGGCGCAAATATCGGGCTTCAAAATATCTGAAACCAAAACCTGGGGCATCGTTTTTTGCAATCGAAACAAGTACAATTTGAACGTATTTTTAGGTGGTACTGCAATTAAATTTGTTAAAACGGTCCGATTTCTTGGCTTACTTTTGGATCAAAAATTAACATGCGGGCCACACATCAATGACTTTGTTAACAGATGTAAGAAGAATTTAAATGTCATGAGGATGTTAAAAGGCACTGATTTTGGGACTGATAAAAATAGCCTTTTACTCCTATATATAAATCCTAAATACGTTCAATGATAGATTATGGTGCTCAAATCTATTATTGTGCAAAAATAACTAATTTAAACAGACTCCAAATAGCAATTCAAAGAAACAAGCTGCGCCTCTGGTTGGCTCCTTGTGTGTGCCCTTGCCATGAACCCACATCTGCTAGGGACCAGATGATAGCATATGTGTTTGAGGAGGCCGTAGATAGTTCTTTCGAACCGTATCCTTTACCGGTATTAGAGTAGGAAAGTTCTCAAACATTAAAAGTAGGTTTAGCATGCCCGGGTTTGAGCTCTCAAAGTGGAGGGAGCAGACCTCGGTAGAGCTAGTGGGCAGCTGGGATTTGACATAGAGGAGTGTTTCGTGATCTGACCGAGAGGAGAGGTGGTTTGTGGTGAGACGGGATAAGCTCAAACAATGACAGGTAGTTTCATGGTGGTCGACGAACAAAGGTGAATGGGTTTATCGAGGCCCCAATCCTCCCCTTGTGGTGCTGTTTACCGCAAGGACCTATGCGGAGGACTTGGTATCACAAGAATTCAAACATTGTTTTGAGTATAGGCGGCCCCTGGAGGTTCCCGCCATGGACGCCTTAACACGTTGCCTGAGGAACGAAACACCGAAGTTCTTTAACACAGTATACAAAGGGAACATATTTCATTGCTGATTTGTCGGCAGTTTGCATAATTCGAGAAACCAAAATTTTGATTAACAAATATATAGGTCAAACCCACATTTATACAGATGGATCTAAGGACCCGGACTCTGCCAGGGTAGCCTCGGCGGTTGTTTTACCCTCCCTACAATTTGAAATTGATAGACTAACCAACAACACATCCATCTATACCGCCGAGCTTCTTGCCGTGCTGGATTAATGACAGTAATATTAACATATTCACTCTCTTCACCGATCTCAAACAAAAGTCAGTCGATACCAGATTTAATAAATGAAATTATACTTTACGCAATTAATAATAAAAATATAAACATATTTAGGTAGGATTTAGCGTTCCGTGTAAAACTGACCTTTTAACCATGGCATAGATCAGATAATGCAAGAAAACGAAATAGCTTGCAACTGAAGTCCACTCCTATACAAACAACTTCCAAGGTTATGCAAAGTGTTTGATAAAACAGCTCATACGAGTATACTATTAAAAAAGGATCCAATATTCTGTGAAAAAACTTATATCTTCCCCATAACCTGGTGCATATCCCAAAGAAATTGGTGCAGAAATAAAATATTTACGGCTATTTTCTTTTTCGAATCAAGCAATATTTGTCTTGGAAATGATGCCGAATATGACGGTAATGTCACGTGGTATTGCTACACTGTTTTGGGTTATGGGTTTATGGGTTGTGGCTATGGTTTGGATTTTATAGCATGGATTGTCTTTTGACAGATTCTAAAAGTGCTCCTAATTGTATTTATTCATTGACAAAACAACCCTTTGGAAAATGCCTTTTAGACCGTTAAACTTAATCTGACCTTTATATGACAATGACCTTTATGATAAATTATTGCATTAGCCTTAACTATTATTTATTGATTTGATGCATACAACACTGATGTCAGATCTGACGTGAAGAATAATTATTTGGACCATCAATAATTTAATAGATTTTTTTATCTGTAAATTTATAGACAAAAGTAGACGTTGTGTTAAAATTCGAAATCGCATCTTAAAAGTTAAATTGATCAATGCGTTCAAGCTAAATTTATCAAGCTTATGATTGTGAAACTACTTTTGTAATAAGAAGCCCTTGTCCGAATCCCCATATTTTATTTCTAATCATGCAAATAGACTGTATGCATGTGCATGCATTTAAAATTCAGTTTCACTTTGAATGTGATTTTGTTGTCAATTCATCTAGTTCTGAATTGTAAATATTTTATTTGCTCGTATGAACACATCTAGGTTTTCATAATAAATCTAATCATATAATCAGAAACCATATTCTTTTTTAACACTGTTATTTTCCTACTGAAAGGACATCAACCATCAAAAACATATTTCGATGTCACCGTAAAATGAATCAGAAGTAGCATTTAAATTAAATCTATTATTTAACGCTTTTGCATGTGTTAAAGACTGACATTTTTCTGGAAACTATATAGACGTGTTTGAATCCCTAGATTTATTTTATCAGGAATCGATAAGAATTTTCAACCCTATCTTGCATGTTATTTAGCCTGAATTGTGTGTATAAGTCTTATATATTAATGGGACTCAACTGAGGTTTGTTTTTTTACATGATGAGACTGGAATTTTTTTTTTAATTTATATTTCTAGACCAATAACTTGTGTTCATTCTCTCACTCCGTTTTTCCAGAATTAATATTTACTTGTTAAGGAATGACCCAAAATTGATAAGCATTGTCAAATTATATACAGTGTAGTTACTGAATTTTATAGTCAATTTAGTTAAACTTTATTTATTGAATAAGTTGTACATTACAAACATTTCACAACAAAGAAATTCAGACTGGATTTGAAAGCAAGTAAAACAATAATTATATCATTTCCTCTCCAGATATCGTCAATTCAATTATTGAGGAAACAAAAATAGGGTTAATTAAAATAGTGTCTTAATCCGGAACTTGTATTTCATCTGAGTATATTTTACATAACCCGGACTTCACAAGACACTGAATCCATCTTATTAAGATCTTATGGAGATCAAGTATAACCAATTACATTGTAATCAATGTACATGTACTCTAACAATAACCATTTTATTATATGTCTCCTCGAATATTTGCACTATAATTATTTCAACTAAACTGTAATGGTTTTACATGGATCACAATATAAAATACAGATTTTTTCTTCCTGTCCGATCTTGTCACTATAAATAATACGTACAGTGAATGGAGCAAACATACAGGTACCATAGAATATGATTAAAAAAACAATACAAATTCAGAATGGCTGCATCAATCCGCAAAAACACTTTTTTAGTTAACGTACATTTGTAACAAGAAGTATCTCGGACGAGGTAAAACTGCTTTTACATGGTCTCTTTCGGTTTGTACATTTTTTCCCGGGATCTTGGACGTTGTTCAATTTGGTAGTCTCGTCATTTTAGAATCTCATTCATTTATAATTCAGTAAATTTTTATGTTGAATAAGATATTCACGAGATAATTAATTATTTTTTTAAAGCAGTGTTAAATATTTATTGGGAGGAAGTTCACAGATTTCAAATATCCGAGAAATTTAAGTTGCAAGTTTGTTTCTGATACTATAATTATATATATATACTATATAGAATGAGATTCCCAGATTTGAATATCCTTCTAATATTTAGTTTTTCCCTGTAAAATTTTAGAGGCAGTCAAACCGATCTCAGACGGACTTCGTCGAAAAAACCTAGTCAAATTCACACAAGCTCCAGAAAACAAAATTGCAATGATAATCATGCCAAGCCCACGCACCCTCCTCCCAACTCAGCGTTAAGCACTTCTCGTTCCGGTCGTCCATAGGTTCATTTGGTCCCCACATCCTATGATCGGCAGAGATGGGTGTACCGTCTTCCCAGTAAAATGTTCCCCCAGATTCGTTGCGCGATGCTCCTATCCAAGTGATATTAGTATAGTCTGAAAGAATATAACTTTATTTTTTTAAAATCTATATTAAAATGATTACAAATGTGTTTAAGTAAAGGCATATTATGCCTCTGAAACGAACAAATTCTTATATCCTTAGAAAGGGCAAACATTAATTTTATAATGTTTTAATAATGTTTTTAGAGCATGTTAGATGCTTGTTACCTAAAAACCGACTAAATGTGAAATAATTTGTAATTAAAGTAGCAAAAATGTAAATAAATTATTTTGACTTCCAATCGTCCACACAAAATGCTAAATCCCTACATATTTTCTAATTGCCAAATAGGTTAATTGGCCAATGAGTAATTATACACGATACATTACAAAAGGAATACACACTATGCCTTAGAATAGATATGAACTCGAATGCTACACCATTCTTACTCCAAGTAAAGCTCTTTTGGTGGATCCATTCAAACTCTGTAGGATAAAATGTGGAGCCAAGATATTTAAACTTTAACTGGTCAATTACATGAATTATAAAAAAAAACATGCATGATATCAAAAGAACTTACCACTGCCGAGTACTTGATCCACTATGTGTATTTCATCCTCTTCTGATGTTATGTCTGCTAAATATCCACCTAAAGTCTGACAGTGTAGCTAGAAAATAATACCATAAAAGTCATAACCAGCATAAAATTTTGATTAATTATTGTCGTCAATGCTAAATAAATGTAATAACTATAAACCTATCCATCAAATCATTTTATAAAAAGAAAAAAGAATCAGCCGATTTTTATATCAGAGAAATGACATAAAGACCAGGAACAATTGATTATGACTGTAGTCAACTCAGTAAAACAGATAAAACAACACTTGTATGGGGTCTTAGAAAGCTCCTATCATGTACTCATTCCAGGCCGGAAAAAATACGACAGTTTATAAAGTTCACACTTTAATGGACTATCTATATAATTATGAACAATTTTGTTATGTACACGGTGTGTGTGATTCAATGAATAAGTGTCATTATATGATCTTAATCTAGACATGTATTTGAGTTTACTTTGCTACACAAGTAACCCGTATGAGCTATGACATTATGCAGGCAATAAAACCAGCAAAATATGAACATTTACAGAACAAATGCACATGTTTTATTGTATAAAACAGTAATAAACGTTTTACTTATTGTAATATTATAACGTTTCTTTTACGCGCCAAATGTGGCGTCTATTTACGTAGACGTCTGTTTTGTATGTTTACGTCATTTCCTTTAAGTATCAACTGATGAAGTTAATAAAGCGAAACATGTATTGATATCTAAATTTGTGTTGGTTTTGATCTATTTGTCCTAACATATACAGAAAGAATGAAACGTTTGGTGTTTCAAACATGCATGACTTACTTCATTTTAGTTTAATGATTTGATTCATTTAACTGGAAATGAAAGTTCGCATAAATAAAGCTTTTACGTAAATAATATATTGAATTGTGTCTCGATCAATTCTATTAATTCCCGGGCAATGAACTTTCGCATACAAAGATACGTTTGGTCATTGCTACTCAGCGCATTTTTAATTTTAATAGAAATACTGTATAAGTGGTTACTTTTCGATGTGTGGAAATATTTGCGATTTTTGCGAAATGAAATTATTCGCAAATATTTGATTGCACAAAAATCATTGCTTTTTAGGCAAAGTTTCTTCTATCAATTGAACAACCCGTTTTCATACATGAATACATTTGACTTTTCAGGTACTGAGATTAATTTTCTCATTGCGTGTTTGTTTAAGTTTGGTCTTAACAATATATATGTTATTTTGGTTTTGGAGTGATATATGTGGATATATTACCTGTCAAGATTTTATATCACCCGAGCCGTTAGGCGAGGGTGATATTTTATCTTGGCAGGTAATATATCCACATATATCACTCCAAAACCAAAATAATAATTTTATTACCCTTCCCGTGCCGAGTTAAGACGATTTTAAAATAAATCATTGCTAATTCAAATGAAACGTCGAAATAAGATTCCCTTTAGGATACCCCTTCACCATAACATGACGTCACATAAATACATGACGTGTTATCTGTCGAACATAACGGATATAAACAAGAGAAAAGGAGTAGTCTGTTGAACGCACTTTTTTGGAATTAATATCAAGCTTTCACAAGGTCATATTTGTTTTCTATACTGACGAGAATATGTATTATTACTCTATTTTGGTAAATTTTTATCATTTGACAGTTTAAAAGTGCTTGTAACGGCCATTCTCAGTTAGAATTTACACCCCTATCAAAATTTTATAAAAAATACAGATTCGCAAAAACGCAAAACTGTTAGTCTTTTTACAAACTTAAACCATCTGTGAAGTTCTACTGAAATTATTTTCAACATCATATAAGTAGTTTTTGTAAATCGGCGGTTTTAAAAGTGTATCCATTTTACCTTTTTAAAATGCCGGAAATGTTCGTGACAAAGTACCTTTTACTCTAAAAAGGGCTGTTTATAATTACATTGATGATATCTTATTGGAATTTACTTTTAAATATCACATGATACATAAATTTTTAATTGTACAATTGATATTACGAATTACTTGACTAATTAAGCTTATATACTTTTTTAAAAACTCATATGCAAAAAGTGCAAATCCAGATATACTGCTTAACTGTGATTACGATTTGTCTCATTATTATAAGAGCTACGACCCAGTGTAATAAGTATAGTTTTTGGCATAAATAAAAACCGTAGTATCTCTGCTAGCAATTGTATGCGATGTATATGCTTTATTGTTAGGTAAATGATCACCTTGCTAAAATTTAAGTACTATGTAAAGCTAACGAACCTTTCAACCATAAACTCAAACAAAAAAGAATCCCACTTAATACCCCAAAGCCTACATATAGACATCAGACAATGATATTGAGTATAAAACCCATTATCTTTCTTGACTTTATAGTATACTGGTTCACATTATTTTGTAGTAAAATAAAGCATCGAATAGTATTTATGTAAAATGATAGTAACTAAAGACATAGCAATACAGCATATCAGTCTAAAACAATTGAAACAACAACAACTTAATTAAAAGATAAACATGTATCAAGAAGTAGAACAGTTTATCAGATCAAATACAGTGCTGGTGCTAAGATTTTAATCATATATTCACTAACTTTTTCAATTCAGATATGGTATATAAAATAACGAACCTTTCTTTGTCAAATCAAAATTTTGATGCTAATATAGATACATTTATATTCAGATATAAAGTTCGGATATAGACATTCGAATACAATTATATTCATTACCTAATGATATCTATTGTAATCTTTTCATTTCTCAAAAATGATATTAAATTGGAATGGCATCTGTAGTAAAACAATTTATAAATGTTTTCTTCAATTTATAACAACTAATTCAATCCAATGAAAACGTGTCAATATGGTAATAATAATAGATTTTACTTTTAAAACAAATAAACATAAGCTTTTTACGAAGAGAAACATTCAGCTAGTATAAAAAAATATTAGCTATAAAATGCAAGCATATCAAATTATAGGATCGGAGTCAATTTCTCTAATGATATGTTCGTTATTCACTGAAACTGCTTTTTTGCAACCAACAAAGAATTTACCAATTCAATGTTGTCACCTCCTAATTATTTAAATGACCTCCGCGAATATCTTGTTTCTCTTGGCTTCAATTCATAACCTTTTAGGGTGTGTCCTTGGGTCAGCCATATCTTTTCTTCGCCTACTGGACATTGCAATATGTCACGCAAATATTAGTTTTCAAAAGGTTAATCACAATTTCACAACATTGAAGAAGCAACGTATATTTTCATGCTTGTAATAATATATTCTTGATATTTTTCCGAATCTTCTTGTTTTAATATTTTACTGAATTACCGCATGTTTTCAGGTTTAGACTTCAGCATAATTGTCTGCACTAAAAGTAATTCCAAAGCTACATTCGTCTAGCTTGAAAAAGACGGGTTTTTTTTACTTGAAAGGTTCGTGGCCCAAGACAACGAACCTTTCATGGAGTTAAATGTTTATTTAATCATGTTTCCCTCATCATAATAATTTATCTTTATAGAATTGTTTTAAATTCACTTCATATTTTGAATTTATAATCACACAAATATAATGTTTATTTGCTTTTTTTTATAAAACAAGCTTTTCGGGCGAGTACGAGGTTTATTTTTTACATACATCTTTTTCAGTTGTAACGTCTTGTAAAAATCAGACATTCTTTTGATGTTCTTTTTCTGTATAAACAAGATATACTCACAAGATTTTTCTTAAATAATATTATATACATTACAGGATAAGATATATTATTTTATTCATATAAATTATCATAGGAAAGGTTCGTGACTAATGGTCACGAACCTTTCCTTGTTTGTAATCCGACATGGTATTGATAAACATCATAAAAATATAAATTCGCTTATTTCATTTGAAAACAATATCGTTTGTGATTCGGTAGGCAATAGAAAATTTTCTTGAAATTTAATAATCATGAAAAGTATCAAAATCACTTGCCAAAGGGTTTTGATGGGAATTCTCGATCATGTTTATAACATCCGCTGCGAATAATAAGCAACCATTATAGAAAGAGTTGAAACGTTTCAACCCAAATGACATCATAGTACATATGTTTGTTATCCGCAGTCGTTTACAAACAAGCATAGTGTAGGCGGCATCGAGTAAAATATATCACCGCACGAACCTTTCATCACGAACCTTTTCTCAGCATATTTCTGATTCAATAATGTTGTTTAAACAGCAACAAAATGTTTCATGTTTGGCATAAAATACTAATTTTTACGTAACTTAGAACATTTGATGTGCTGGGGGTACATATTGCAGTCATAAACCCTTTAAATCAGGTAACGAACATTTCAATTTTAACCCAAACCACATCACAACGTTAAATTCTACATAAATAATAAAAAAAATTGTGCACACTATGAACATGGTGATAATATGAAAGTATTATATTGTGATATTAATACAAAAAAGAACATCTAATGTTGTTTCAATGATAAAAACACTTAACTTGCAATATATGGTTAAAAGGATAACGAACATTTCATACTATCCGGCGACAAACACTAATCCCTTACCATTTTTTATGACTTATTGTTACTGAGATCTAATTTACAAATTTATAGTCGTGAATTGTTCCAAAATAATACGGCATCAAAGAAAATTAAAACAATACAATTAAAGCATCTAAATACACGTTCACTTTTTATAAATTGGACGGCGACAATCACGAACCTGTCATTTTCGTAACTTTAGGTGAATATTATTAAACAATTATTCATGATCAAATGGCGAGTTATTGTGTGTTATTTAAGGTAACATCTACCTTCTTAAACCAGCATAGATTTACAGGCAAATAACCTGCAATAATGAGGATAGACGGTGGCGACAAGTAAAAATTAAGGGTGTAAATTCTAACTGAGAACGGCCGGTAAATCGGAATTTATATCGCGTAAAATCAAACCGTACGCGCATCGCACGGCGCATGTTGTTTACAACGTGGGGTACCCATCGGGGAAATTTAATGTGTATATTACCCGTCTGGCTCGGTTATATCAATTTCTATCGGGTGATCAATATCCAATCAAAAAGGCGGAAAAAATCTGGAAGGGTAATAAATAACAAATGTTTTAATGAAACAATACACATGTTTATTACCCGTACAGATTTGTTCCACCTTTTTGATTTAAGAAATAACAGCGGCCTGAGAGGTGTATATCGGCTATATTTAACACCGGTTTGGAGTTTTAATGCGTAGGAATTGACCACGAAGGCCATAGGCCTGAGTGGTTAATTTTGTCGCATAACAACGACAAATGGCGTCATTTACGACGTCACGTCATTATGTTGGTTTCCAGTACTGTGAACGCTTGTATTTCACTGAAACAACGTAACGGGCTCAAATATTCAAAACAGTGAAATTATCAAATTGATAATTTCACTGTTTAAATAGTGAAATTATCAGTTTTTATTTCACTGATATATTTCTATAAACCACCGAAAATCGTGTAATAAAACGGCATAAGTTTTCCTTAAATATTTTGTGTTTTCTTCGTCTTTTTCTTCCTCTTCTATTATTATTATTATTATTGTTATTATTTTATATTAATATACAATTTTGAAGTGTTTGTAGCATTTTTGTTTGATTTTTGGGCCATTTCCTTGAATTTATTTTTTCTGGCTATAAACCTGATATTTAAAACCTTTTAAATACCGAAAAATATATTAAAATTGTAGGTTAGTAAGTTGGAATTATTGTATTTTCAGAAAATTGTAAAAACCAAAAATGTGAAAATTTTGCACTATGTTGGTTTTCTCATTTTAAACATTGATCATGTTGATATTCTGGACAATATCATTGCAAATACTGACTTTATGATTCGTTAAAGGGAGTTAATTCACAAATATACAGAAACATTTAAGACATCTAATTGAAAGTAATGAATAAGTTTGTAACATTCATTGTTACATGTATATATTTCTCAGCAATCGCAGTTTACAGAAGTAAAAAGGTACAGATTTTAGAATATGACACAATGGTTTTATGAAATACATAGAAACAGATTTTAGAATATGAAGCAATTGTTTTATGAAATATGTAGAAACACTATAATTATGTGCCATGATATGAAAATTAAGTTCTTAAACCCAAATTGCAAGGTCATTAACACGAGACCACTTTAATTATTACAAGGCGATCAGAAAAAAACATCAACAAAGACAAAACTAACTGAAATAGACGTATGCCTATATTACATTATTGCAATTAAATAAACATTCAGCCCCAATCAATATTATTAACAAGCAATGCTGTTACTAGTACTTAACTTAAAGGTTAATACTTGGTTGCTGCTCGCCATTATGCGATAATGACCCGAAGATGTGCATAATGGCCTGAGGGCCGCAGGCCCGAAGGACATTATGAACTCGAGGGGCCATTATCGCATAATGGCGAGCAGCATCCAAGTATTAACGTCTTTAATTTATATGTCCGAAATACGGCGTTTAAACATCGCCGCTAATCTTGGTTGTCGCCCTTTCTAAGAAACGAACAGTTGTCAATGTAAACAAATACCTGCCATGTACAGTTTAACCATCCGATTAACTTGGAAAACATGACAACACAAAATAAATATAAGGAAATGTTGTTTTATTGTTGTTTTTATCGATAAATACAGTATCCATCTCTTTACATTTTTGTGAGAATTACGTTAAGATCAAGTGCCAGTTATTTATGAAGTTTTGTTTTTGAGACTGATGTCTAGGTCTGAATGCCACCGACCCGATCTCTTTCCTACTGTCAGTCTAATATCAATTTTAGAATTTCTGAGGGTCATGTATTGTCTTGCGTTTATAAATCTTTAATGTTAAGCTTTGAAAACGCGAAATGGCACAAATCAGCCACCATACTTTGCTGATTGTGATTAATAATGCCATTTAACTTTTATAATATGTTGTGTGCAAGTGACTATGTGTACAGTTCATTCAACGTCAGCAGCCATCTTGAAAATCACTGAGAGTTGATTAAGTCATTCTGCTTGTGCGCTCATTAACTCGACCATTATGGAAAAATAATGACGAGTAGCAAGGCGGCCAAAATTTCATAATGACCTAGATGCCATAATTGCCATTAAATACCCTAGATTTTGTTACTATATATAGTAACATAGGTATTAGGTGTATTTATTAACCTCTACCCTGCTCATTTTTATAAGCCTTTACCACCAGAAAAGAGCTTTGCTATCCTGCTCATCCGTACACACTCACCTGACTCTATACTGGTCATAGTTCTTTTTAATTTCGATATTGAACTCCTTTTTAAGGGTATAAATCTATAGAATGTCTCTGTTATTTAACACACATGAATAATGTACATAAACAGAATGAAATGTTCCGGAACAAAATATTGTTTTGCTTTTTTAAGTATAGTTTTATCCTTTTAACAATGACGTTGAGCATACAAGCATTTTGGAAGTATTCTTTTTTTTATCCAAACAAAAATTTTTGCATCAGATATATTGCTTTATACACCTTTAACTTAGAATGGAGAAGACGCAATTTAAAAGGGACAACTAAATTATGGTAAAGGATTGAATATTTTTTGTTTTGTCTTGCTTTCAGCCGTCCAAACACTTAATGCTTTGTGGCCCGATTTTCAAGAATGACCTGAAGCGACTCTCCGAGCATTAGGCCTATTTCTGGATTACTTCAAAAAAGTATAGAAAATGGCAGCTAGCTACTTTTTTGTAAAACGGGTCGAAACTGAAAAATCCATATTCTGTAGTCAGTCATAAATGATTGATATCGTTCAACGAGCGAGCATAATTTAGTAATCGTTTAAGAATACAAAGTTAGAGAAGTTATGCTTACACTTGCATTGCCCCATGTTTTCTCTTCAGTAACTAGCATGTACCCTGAAATGAAATATACATATACATATGAAACATTCATGTGTGGGTGTGTCGGTCGAATATGGCACACTCTTTAGCCAAATATGGAACATAAAATGTGCCATATTCGGTTGGATTGAGTTTTTCTATACTCACCAAAACGTATTTGTCACTCATCAAAAATGCGCATAAAAATGAAAATACTAACGTATGAGGATTTTCTTTACTTAAATAAACCCGTTTTGCACAATACCGTTTATTTAAAAAAAAATCTAATGACGGAATCGTAAATAGCACAACCGCCATCTTCATCATCACCATCATCATCAGCAGCAGCATTATTATCATCATTATCATCATCACAAGTGAATAATAAACAAACATTTCACCGAATATTTTAAAAGCGTATAAAATAAACAAATATTTCACCGAATATTTTAAAAGCGTATAAAATAAACAAACATTTCACAGAATATTTAAAAAGCGTATAAAATAAACAAACATTTCACAGAATATTTTAAAAGCGTATAAAATAAACAAATATTTCACAGAATATTTTAAAAGCGTATAAAATAAATATTTCACCGAATATTTTAAAAGCGTATAAAATAAACATTTCACAGAATATTTTAAAAGCGTATAAAATAAACAAACATTTCACAGAATATTTTAAAAGCGTATAAAATAAATATTTCACCGAATATTTTAAAAGCGTATAAAATAAATATTTCACCGAATATTTTAAAAGCGTATAAAATAAACAAACATTTCACAGAATATTTTAAAAGCGTATAAAATAAACAAACATTTCACAGAATATTTAAAAAGCGTATAAAATAAACAAACATTTCACAGAATATTTTAAAAGCGTATAAAATAAACAAATATTTCACCGAATATTTTAAAAGCGTATAAAATAAACAAACATTTCACAGAATATTTTAAAAGCGTATAAAATAAACAAACATTTCACAGAATATTTTAAAAGCGTATAAAATAAACAAACATTTCACAGAATATTTTAAAAGCGTATAAAATAAATATTTCACCGAATATTTTAAAAGCGTATAAAATAAACAAACATTTCACAGAATATTTTAAAAGCGTATAAAATAAACAAACATTTCACAGAATATTTTAAAAGCGTATAAAATAAATATTTCACCGAATATTTTAAAAGCGTATAAAATAAACATTTCACAGAATATTTTAAAAGCGTATAAAATAAACAAACATTTCACAGAATATTTTAAAAGCGTATAAAATAAATATTTCACCGAATATTTTAAAAGCGTATAAAATAAACAAACATTTCACAGAATATTTTAAAAGCGTATAAAATAAACAAACATTTCACAGAATATTTTAAAAGCGTATAAAATAAACAAACATTTCACAGAATATTTTAAAAGCGTATAAAATAAACAAACATTTCACAGAATATTTTAAAAGCGTATAAAATAAACAAACATTGCACAGAATATTTTAAAAGCGTATAAAATAAAACAACATTTCACAGAATATTTTAAAAGCGTATAAAATAAACAAACATTTCACAGAATATTTTAAAAGCGTATAAAATAAACAAATATTTCACCAAATAAGCGCAAAACACATTTCATGAGTATCGTACTGCAATATCCCTGTAAACAAAAACATATATTCGTCTTGCATTAAAATGTTGTTTTTTTTTTTTTTTTTTTTTTTTTTTTAGCTGCTTGAACAAAAAAATTCCAGGGCCCTTAACAAATCTTCAAGCTATTTGTATAAACATATTTATTTATGCTCGATTGCGAAACAGGTTTTTTCTCAACTTATATTAATCACTTTCGAGTCCGCTTCCTGGAACAAACCAGTACTGGTATCAAATGAGGAAACATAGTCATGACCTGAGTTAGGCTCGAACCAACAATCCTGAAGCAAACATCTTAGCCATTTGGTCACCACTATCCCTATCATTGTATCGTCCATACTTTCATCAGTGATTTATCAGGAAAAAATCACATCTTGCTAGAGCTTTTATGCTGCAACCATGCAAAAACCAAACGTAGAATGTCAAACAGTTTTTTTTTTAAACGACTTCAACGCGTTTAATTGTCATTTCGAAAATGATTGTTTAAGCCATAACATAACTTTTAAGGAGCAAGTTATAAATGTGGAGTGAACAGAACGCCATTCATACTATCTCCTCTTGTGCGCACCATTGTAAAATTTCACATCTGGTTTGCAGCGTGAAGAAAATTCAAAAATCGTTTTTTCGTGATTAAAAGTTTTGATGTTGCTCATATCTAAGTCACTGCGTAAATAATAAATTTTATTTAGTGGTATAACGCCATTTGTAAAGTAGTTGTCAAAATCGCGCTTTGTGCGCGTAAGATAAACTTACAAGTTTCATGACCATGCCCCTAGTTCAAATACTGTTGATGCTACACACGACACAAGTTGACTGTTTCCTATTTGACAAAGTCAAGGGCAATAACTCTGGAATGACTGCCCGAATCAACGTTCGACCCCTAACTAAATTATTTATGGGGCAACACTTAAGATTCCGGGACGGACAGACGCACGTACTCAGGCACAGGCGCACGGACATATTTTCGACAAAGCCAGTCACTGTGTGTTGACACAGTGTCATCTTACTGGTAAAATGATAAACAAGGCGGCATGTTTTTAAACAAATATATTACTAATTTACGATGATGGTGTTGATGTTGTTGTTGTTGTTGTTGATGATGATGATGATGATTATGATGTATTATTAACGTTGTTGAAGCTAGGGTAAAACGGCGATGATAATGTTAGTTTACTGTGTAAAATATTTGACATATACGGTCAGGCATTTACTACTAAATTGCAGAAACGTATATGGCACATAAATAAAAACATCTGTTATTAATTCGGCCTATTATGTCCCACATGTGTGACATAAACGATCCGTGACATATACGGTCCGACATGTGAATATCAAAACTACCTTAATTATATTGACATGTAAATAGCGAATATGAATTGTTATTATTTCGTTCTGATTCTATCTCATTTTTGGAAGGGTATCTCATTTTTGAAAGGGTATTCTAGGGGCACATAGACATTTAGCAGAATAAAACTATAAAATAAGATAATGCAAGTTATCAATTGTAAATGTGCTGTGAATTTGTTTGAAATAAACTATGTTTTAACGAAAAATGCTCATAAATGTTTAAACGAAAATGTGCACAACGGATTTAACAATTTACGCATGCTTGATTGAAGAAAAGTTTTAAAACGTTTCTTGAGTGAAAAATTAGAATGATATCTTTAAAACACGTACTGATGTTTAGCAGTCTGGTATAACAGATATAAAATTTAAATCTGCCTGTCAAAGATAGCTGCAAAATGACATATCAGATAAATACATAAATAAATAAGCGAACACCCCTATAATTAAGTAAGAGATAACTGGGGGGACCAATTGTCAACGAATAATTTCTAATTCCACTAACCGTTTTTTTATCACGATACGATGTCACCATTAACTCAACCTTTAGACATCCAACTATAAAAGTTCCAGAAATATCAAACCTTTTCTTCCTTACAATTAATAACTAAAATTTATTACTTACTTTGCTTAAAGTAGTACTTCATTCCATCCAGAGATGGGGCGGATGAATTGGTAAGAAATTTGTCATTGCACCCTACACAGTGCATATAAGCTTCGTCGTGGAACACGCCAAAACACGACGAGCTATCAGCACAAATTGTCAGACACTGCATTTTATTCAACTTATTTTCTTCAAAATCCTTATTTATCGTGGGACAAGTAAACCCTTCCAAATCGGCATTTTTTGAAAACTTTATGTTTTGACAGGCTATAAGTATAACAAAGCCTTCTAAAAGAAACAAACAGATATTTAAGCAATATTTCTTCATGTTGCCCTTGCACAAGTAATAACCAGCAAAGTAATGTGAATGTGTTTAGTCTTTCAGTTGATAAAATTTGACAAGAGGGTCATGATGGTCCTGAATCTTTCACCTGAGATACATTGCTAGAAAGGATAAAGCCAGTAATGAAGACATATTGGGTTTGTCTTTTTTTCTCCAGACTACATAATTGTAAAATAAGTGATCCCAAAGGGAGTTGTCATTTTTTACTCCAGACTTCATAACTGTAAAATAAGTGATCCCCAGGGAGTTGTCATTTTTTACCAAAGGGGCATGACTTATACATCAATTATAGCTATCCACTTGGCAATGCTACACGCTATGTTTCTAAGGTCTTGGAAGTGCTTTTTCACTTAAAGGTATTCCCCTAAACAAGTCAAAATAAATTAAGTAACACCGGGACAGGGCCAATTTTGACCCAAGGGGCATGATTTATATAGAGCCTTTGTAGAAGATCACAAAGTAATTTTACGAGCAAAATACCTAAGATCTTGGCATTGTCATTTTAAAGAAGAAGAATTTTGTTTTACTTTATAAGTCTATGTCAAATAAGTGACACCTAGGACGTGTCAAATTTTGACCCAATGGGCATTACTTATACAATCTTTGTAGAGGTACACTAGGCAATGCTACTTGCTAAATATCTTAGTTATTAACATTGTGCTTTCAAGAATAAGACTTACAAGTATTTTCCTTTACAGGTCTATTTAAACTAAGTGACCTCCAGGGCTGGACAAATTTAACCCAAAGGGCGTGATTTATATAAATTGTGTACAGGAACACGAGGTGATGATACATGTAAAATATCTAAGCTCTTGGAATTTTCATTTCAGAGAGAAGATATATGAGACATTTATTTTATTATACAAGTCTTTGCAAAAATGTGACCCTAAGACGGGGCCATATTGACCCCAGGGGCAAGATCTTTATTGTACAGAACCATAAGGTGATGCTACATGCCAAATATCTATATTCTTGGTATTGTAGTTTCTGAGAATATATTTTTAAAAATCTAATTTTTTAAATCTATTTTAGCTCCTGTAACCTAATTATACATCAGACTAGAACCACTTACATGTATTATATAAAACTTGTGTAGAGGACCACCTAATTATCATTCCTGTAAAGTTTGACAAAATTCCATCAAGTGGTTTAGGAGCAGATATTGCTTAAAGAAGCTGTGGACAACGACGGACAACGAACGAGGGACACACTACCAACCAAAAATCTCTACTTTAAGGACTTTGTGCTCAGGTGAGCTAATAAAACGCCCAAAAATGCAATTTTTCAATTAAGTGCTTGACTAAATACAGAGATATTTGTAATCATTCTAATCATGTAATGTTTGTTTTATTATTAGTTTCATAAATTATTTCATATGAATATTGTAGAAAGTCTCTAAAGACCAATTATGTTTTAGGCTGTTACTCTGGGCAATATGTAAACAATCTATAAACATATTGATAAGTCTTTTAACCGACCTGTATCAATTCATCTTGCTATTGTCACTCATACGAATCTCCTATATTTGTGAAATACGTACAAAACATAATAATGGTGTGACAAATATTTAATGAGCATAACGGAAATGAACGTTAAATTGCACATAGTACATCATTATATACAGAATAACTTGTGAATGCAATGATGTGCAGACAAAAAAAATAATGTTGGTAATCAAACATTAATTTATCGATAAATGAGGATGAATAATACCATTTTAAAATAAGTTCAACAATGTATTGAAAAGTTAGTGTGAGTATCCACCGACGTATAACATTTATTTTATGCATTGAGGATATCAAATAGCTGGGAAAAGGGCAATTGGGTACCTGGTATCTTTTACTTGTACTTAACATTTTGTCACTAAAAAAACACCGTTTTAGATTTGATTGAATTCTTTGTAATAATTATACTGATTCGCATCTGAGTTTAGTTTTATAGAACACTTGGTCAAATTAACTGAAATCAAAAGTAATAAAAACTATTTACGAGAATTAAATGTATTTATCTAACAATTTACTGCGCATTCCTTTGACAACAGTCCCGCCTAAAGTAGCTTTTAGACAGAAAAAATCTCAAATATTAACGCCATCAAATCTTTAAGCATTGACACTTTTGCTCGAGAGTCGGCAACGTTTTCTTTATACATGTACATTTGTATATGGTATAGACCGAAGGATCAAATATGTTTTAGGTTTGAGGACAATCCCTAGAGAGAGTAAAATAGCATTTTATAAAGAAAAAACATTTCAAGGGGGAAAACTAATTCTGGAAATATTGCTTCTGCAGTGGTGATGATGATTAACATATCTTAGGGCAGAAGAAATCAAATCAGGAATCGCCGGATTGAATTAGATAGCTCTCCATATACTTTATGCTAAAATAAAAATGTTAAAATAGCAGATTCTGTTGGTTTTTTTTAAGTTGTTCACGAGGGAAGCCCCCGATCTCGGGTTTCGGCTTTAAATGTGTCCCGGTGTTTCTGCAGATGTTCATGTTGTAGATGTAAATGCACGAAAAAAAATTGTCCGTTTGAGCAATATTTAGCTAATATTAAATATGATAAGACTAGACGGGTGTGCTGAAGAAAATGTCGAAGGAAAAATCCATCAATAATTGTGCTAAGAATCAGGCAATGTCGTAGGAAATTCCAACAATAATCGTGCTTAGAATCAGACAATGTCGTAGGGAAAATCCAACAATAATCGTGCTTAGAATCAGACAATGTCGTAGGGAAAATCCAACAATAATCGTCCTAAGAATCAGTCAATGTCGTAGGGAAAATCCAACAATAATCGTGCTTAGAATCAGACAATGTCGTAGGGAAAATCCAACAATAATCGTCCTAAGAATCAGTCAATGTCGTAGGGAAAATCCAACAATAATCGTGCTTAGAATCAGACAATGTCGTAGGGAAAATCCAACAATAATCGTGCTAAGAATCAGTCAATGTCGTAGGGAAAATCCAACAATAATCGTGCTAAGAATCAGGCAATGTCGTAGGGAAAATCCAACAATAATCGTGCTTAGAATCAGACAATGTCGTAGGGAAAATCCAACAATAATCGTGCTTAGAATCAGACAATGTCGTAGGGAAAATCCAACAATAATCGTGCTAAGAATCAGACAATGTCGTAGGGAAAATCCAACAATAATCGTCCTAAGAATCAGGCAATGTCGTAGGGAAAATCCAACAATAATCGTGCTAAGAATCAGGCAATGTCGTAGGGAAAATCCAACAATAATCGTGCTTAGAATCAGACAATGTCGTAGGGAAAATCCAACAATAATCGTGCTAAGAATCAGACAATGTCGTAGGGAAAATCCAACAATAATCGTCCTAAGAATCAGGCAATGTCGTAGGGAAAATCCAACAATAATCGTCCTAAGAATCAGGCAATGTCGTAGGGAAAATCCAACAATAATCGTGCTAAGAATCAGGCAATGTCGTAGGGAAAATCCAACAATAATCGTGCTAAGAATCAGGCACGCTTGTATTCATTCATGTAGCAAGCCATGGAGTGTAATGAAGCATATGTTGATAAAACATATATAATCTATCAATAAGCCAAGTATCAACATATAGAAATAGTGATTTCGAAACAAAAACTACCAACTTAAAAAAAAACTTCAGCACTACGCCGTCATCTTGGCGAAATATTTGATCGCGTGATAACTGGTTATAAGTTTGACCTCAAAAAACATTTTTTTCTTTAGAAAGGGCAAACATAACCTTTAAAATGTTTGAATAATTGTTTTAAAACATTTACGATGAATGTTTATTATCTGAATAAAGGAGCACTGTATGTGAAATTATTTGTCATGAAAATAAAAAATTGTAAACAAAGTATTTTTTGACTTCCATCATTAAAAACTAAACTAACTTTCAGAAAGTAATAGAAGCAAAGTATAATCCAGGTAATTGGTCAATGAGCAACTTTCTGAAAACTATATCAGAACACCAAATTTAATATTATAAGCTTTTGAGGAACAAACAAATAAATGAAAGTTTTTCTTGGGCATAATGGTAAACAATACCAGTGCTTTTGAGTGCTGAGAAATTACTTTTTTCAGAAATCAATATAAGTGGTTTTCCTACTTTTTAATTCCATATAAATACCAAAGAAATAAAGGAAAGAAATAAAAAAAACTGATATCTTAAACTATGAATATTGAAATCATGTCATCAATAATGTTCCATTATACATGTATACATGCTTGTACTCTAAGCGACTCGAGCGAATTACGCCATACAGGTTTTGGCGCAATCATGGGCGACTTAGATGTATTGCAATTTCAATGACTTCATTAGTAATTTGATACTTAGAATGGTAAAGTTTGATGTTGATATAATTGTCTTATCGAATTATGCACACTAATTAATTGTCAAAATGGGATTTGCGAATTAAAATGATGTTAAAGTAATGTGTACTATTCTACTTTAATCCCACAACAAGTGAAAGAAAAAATGTTAAAAAGCATAGCTAAGGAATGTTATTTTATCAGGCGCAAAAACATTATCAATTTGGTCAGATATATTACTAAAAATATTTCGATATGTAAATTTGTGAAAAAAAATCTTGAAATGCGAGAAAACCTTCTAAATGGTTCATTATCAATTATATTTGCACAGTAGTAAAAATATCAAGTTCATTTCTATCATAAACTTCTGTCGGTGCATTGGATTATACACAAAAGCGAACAGCACAGCATAATTTGTTCATTGTTTTTAACCAACTTAAATTTACCATTGATTTATTCTAGATTGCGTGTCTGAAATCTAGGGTCATCATGTCGGACCCGATGTTAAACTTATGAACTCATTTGTTTTGCATTGAATTGTATTTTTATGCTCCTTGAAAAGTCCATGTCTTTTTGCATATATCGATATGCTGACCATTGTGCTATAAACATATATTGTATGTTTTGTGTAATAGAATTATTTGAGTTTGAGTTTTTCTAGTCAAAGGTTTACTTCTTTATCCAGAGGCATCCAAAGATGTATTCGTTCAACATTCGACACGAACATCACAAGAGATGGGTTTTAATAAACGAAAAATTGTCAGTCTGAACTAAACAAAATGATTTTTTGAGTGCATAAATAAATAAGTGGTCATGAAGCCTGTTAATCACTATAAAGATTCCATCTATCACCTCTTTTATCAGTATCAACACATTAATATTTCCGCTTTAATTAATGGGTTTTCTATTTCTATTCCTCCCATCCCATAGGTTTTTAATATTTTGTATTTGTTTCTAGTTCTATATAAGATACTGATTCTAATATATTCATGTTTCAGAATACATGTAACTAAATTTCTTCCTTCCATTCATGGACTCTTTCTATTCAGATAATTGTTCCAAGACTCATTTATTGTTTTGGAAAGTGCTTCTGTGTTCGCGTTTTGTTCAAATCGTTTATCTTAATCTGTCTTGAAATATGCTCATCAGAATACGAGTGTAAACTAAAAATCAAACTAACACGACATTTCATCGTATTTTTTCCAATTTAATGTTCTTACTTCATATGAATAACTAATAATCCACGTGACTCACTAAAATTCCCGCAAATATTCTAACATCGTATTTTTTCCAATTTAATGTTCTTACTTCATATGAATAACTAATAATCCACGTGACTCACTAAAATTCCCGCAAATATTCTAACAAAATTATCAGTGACGTTCGAGAGTTAAATATTTATGTTTAAGACAACGTTATGTATTAACTTGACAATACATGATCTTTTAAAAATATATAGCTTTATCATTATTGAACGCAACTCCAGAAAAACAGTACAATACAATTCTAAGTGGAATTTACCATAACAACAAAAGATTGTTCTTTCGATATTTTTTACAAGATACAGATCATAAAATGTACAAGCACACAACAATTATTCTTTTGAAGAATAATTCACAAACAGACTCTTTTTACAATTTATTATCACTATACTAAAAATATACATTATGCAAAATGTTTCATACACAGAACATAATTATGCATTTACACAATTCTTGACATTTGATGGCATTTTACACAATGCTCGGAAAAGGACATAGGCTTATACAAGTTAACAAAGACATTCGTACGATTCAGGCATTCACAAAATTTCTTGTGAACATAGGCATTCACACAAATCATGGAAAATGAACATGGAAAATGACAAGCATTCATAAAATTCAAGAAACATAACAGCTTATTTGTATTACAATGTCTGAACCTACTGAACATAGTAAGTTTTTACATTTTAGTAGTTGAATGATGAATTACAATGCAAAAATGGAAATGGTAAGGATAATAATCAAAGGTTACTGTGTCAATAAAAACATGATCTTTTCACACTTCATTAAAGTATGATACATACTTTCAATTTAGAATTATAGTCCATTCATTATTTCAAAAGGTTTGTAGATCACTAAGCAACCAAGCTCACCTGACCAGTTGCATTTGATTGATTTCACATTAAGTTATGTAATGATGTAAGATGGCGTAGTTGTTGACCTCAGGACATCACTGTGTTTTGGACATTCAGACCTCGGAATCAGTTTGTATTTCCCGTACAATGTATTACCGCCCAGTTTTTTCAATGCAGCTACTATATCCCTCATATCTTGTTTGCTATAAATGATATAATATGTGTTGCCGTCACGTTGTCTCTGGTCAAATCTCAGGCCAAGTGACTGCACATAAGCTCGAATTTCACCCAGTTCAGCCTGCTGCATTCCTGGCCCAATAAGAAGTTCGTCGGCATTATTACGTGGGAAAAACTTGTCAATTCTGTTCCTTACAGCATTGACAATGTGTTTATCGGCTGGTCGTCTGTCAAGTATATCTTTAGGAGGAGTGGGCATAGGATCCTTTGCAGCCCTTCTCAAAATCATAGCTTCTTGCTCTATGATAGAGAACGGAATCCACCTTTCCTCATCATTCAGCTTTACAATCTAAAATATATCACAACAGTTTTGTATGAATACTTAGTTTCTATTTCCTAAACAAAGAATTTATTGGTTTTATTTTATATTTCACTTATACTGACACTACTATGTAACATGCTTTTAACTTTTAATGTACCCAGAAAAGAGAGCCTCTCTGACACTGTCAGAGTATGAGTCAAGGCACAAGGTACAATAAATTGACATCTTAATGACCAACTTTACACAAGCCAGAGAACTTCCAAATATGATAGAAATTCACATTTTTTGGGACTGAAACTACATTTACGTAACCAGGATAAGATAAAACTTCAACACAATACATTTCTTGCTAGAAAGACAAAAACTAACAAACATTCATTGTTATAAATGTGCTGTCAAAGTGACTACAAATCTAGGGAATATTAGTGGTCAGTAAATTTACCCCAAAACACCCAAGAAGACTTATATATTGTGTAAATTGGAAAAGTTTTAGTTTAGGTCTTGGGGGTAGTCTTGGAGTAAATAGACTGACCAGAATATTAGTCCCCTGCAACTTATGATTGTTGTATTTGACATCGGAATTGAATCGGCGCCCACAAAACAGTTAATTGTTACACCTCTATATCATAAACACAATTCTAAGTTTCTAACTTCATTCCAAACACTTACCCTGACCACATCATTTTTTTCATATAGATGAAAGAGAATGTCCACAGCTGCAAAGTTACGTGTCTTATTTTTACCATATCCTGTATGCTCACTGACTTGTTGTCCTTTCAGAAATATTTGACATCTGATGAAAACAAAAACAGTGTTTGTAATTAAAGTATGAATTATGTTTGTCATGACAATATGTTTCTATAACAAATCAAAACTTTTTGATCATATATAAGCGACTGGTTTTAACCAGTTTTCCAAGATAACTTTCCAGTAACTTCCAATCTGTCTGCTAGTGACCGACTTTTACTCCATGATTTTTAATTACCAGTGACAGACAAATCTGCAATAGCCTCACTATCCAAGATCAACTGTCATCAAGAAATTATTACATTATTACATTATCAGCAGCCCTTGGATCACAAATTTGATGCTTTCCATTATGAATTTTAATATTCAGATTACATCAAGATTCACGTAAAGAAAACATGGTCTGAACAGCAAATGAAAGGATGCACATACAATTAGTGTTATGGAAAGGAAACTGAAGAATGAACAGACAAACAGTGTCAAGACTATGGGCATTTCAGTTACAATGACACAAATTGACACATTAAAAAGTATGACAAAAGGACGTTAGACACATGGAAAGTAACTCCTCTTTCTCATCGCCCAAGATGAACATCTTACCTATACTTTCCAAGTGGTCTAAGTTCATTCTTGTAGTTCTTTTGACCATGTGCCTTTATGCCTGTAAAACTCCATTGTAATAACATGCCATTATGTAATGCTGAATTCTGGAGGATAGCAAATGCAAACTGCCGTCTGTCCTCAAACCAGCTACCAGCTTCTACAATAACAAGGTCTCCGATTGCGCGAGATGTGTCGTTCGGATCATAACCGTGCCGACGTAACTGAGCAATGTTAGATTCACTGTTAGAACCCTTCTCTCCTTTTACAATCACATCAAGTACTGTAGGACCTGCAATATTTCAAAATTAACAAGATATTGTAATGTACCTGTGTGCATCCACCTTAATTACAACAAGAACAAGCAATTATCATAGTATTGCAAGCAATCCATAAGTGCCCTACCGGTTAGAACCCCAGCAACATTCTGATGGGCAATTGGCCATACAATTTTACCAACGAATGAATGACATGAATGAACTTAAATCTTTTGAGTTCTAAGTTTGTCTATATCACAGTAATGTGTTAAGTTACCCTGCCTAGTAAGGAAATAATGTTTATACAACCTTATCATATTATTACGATGTGGGATTTTAAAGTAAATCCTATAAGGAATGAAGAAGTTCGAGTGAAAAATACCAATTTCTCGAAAAAAAAGTTCAAGGGGGACATAATTCTGGAAATAGTCTTGCTAGAGTATTTTACCTTCTCAAAAATGTTGAGTGATAATAAGAAACATGTATATGAAATTTGAAGTTGATACATTAGGAAATAAAGAAGTTATTTAAAAAAGACAACATTTTTTTTCAAAATTCTAAGTTCAAGGGAGGTAATACTGATAATTTTTGTGCTAGAGTTGTAAACCTTGTCACATATGATGTGGTTGATGACCAGAAACTTATATTTAAAGTTTGAAGTAAACACCTAAAGGAATAAAGAACTTATAGTGAAAAAGCTGAAAAATTTAAATCGGAAATCTTGAAATTCCGGCTATTTGTTGCCATAGCAACCAGAATTTTCAACATAGGAAGAAAAGAAAAAGATGTGCATTATCACCAGACTGCCATCTACCCAAATTTCAAGTTTAATAAAAATATTTTCAGTACTTTTTGAGTTATCACTGGATCCAGTTTATGTGTTAAATTTGCCATATTTTCAGACTATTTGTTGCGATAGCAACCAGAATTTTCAACATAGGAAGAAAAAAAAAGACGTGCATAATCTCCATACTGCCATCTATCCATATATCAAGTTTCATAAAAATATTTTCAGTACTTTTTGCGTTATTGAGGGATCCAGTTTTGTGGACTGACAGACAGACGGATGGAGGGTAAACCTAAAGTCCCCTCCGGTTAAACCAGTAGGGGACTAATAACTTCTACTTATTATTATTATTCTACTAATAACTAATACTTCAGTGGACTGATCCTTTAGCTAGGTGGTTTTAAGTGCAAGTACTTAAATGCTTGTAAGCTTATAATCATGATTCCTAGACAGGCCCAGTCAACTTGCTTTACTCTAAGCCAGGGTTTGATACTTGTTTTTCTGGTTTTTATGCTAATTTTAACACATTACTTGGTAATATCTTGGCAGTCGGTGCAACTTATCAGCTTTTCCAACCTAACCAAAAAACCTTCCTGATCAGTAATTACCAATTACAATAAATAATGATATTTATGTTGACTATCTGCATGCTAGGAGCAACTAAAGGGACTCAAATTTAAGCACTTTTTAAGAATTTACTTAATTAAAGAAAAAATATTTCAGTCTGAAATGACGAGTAAATGTGTAGGGTCACTCTCCCTGCAGGGTGAATAACCCTAAAAAAATCTTCAAGTCCTGCCAACTTAGAAAAAGAAAAAAGATACGATTCATACCTGTAGTCTCCCTGGCTTCAATTCTCCTGCAGTTTTGCATGATATCCTCGGGGGAACTGGTTGTTATAATATCCCAGGCTATATCGTACGCATCATTTGTACAGTCACTCTTTGTTGCTCCATGCCCTGTGGAAAATAGATTTAACTCACTACACCTCTAAGATGCTTGCAGAAATCATGATCACAAAGTATGAAAATATCACTTTTTTCACCTATTATTACAATGTTATCGTAAATAAATTGATGTAAAGAGATCAATTAGACATCTGAAAGTGCATTTAGGCTGGTGAAATGGCAATATTTTAGCATTTATCCTATCAAGCGGTCCAGGATATATCAGAATACAGTATTTAGTGTGGTGCTAAAACACTTGTTTTAGTCTCACTCATGTGTTGAAAATTTCATACAAGGACAAAAAGTTGAAAATTTTAATACTTTATCACACTTTTCAGATAAATGAGTTTTTTCCTGTAATGAAGCTATCAAGCTAGCTAGACGGTAGATAGTCCTACTCAGGTGACAGCTCTTAACTTAACTACTGCACACAGGGGCAACATAGACCTTTCTCCTCCAGGAAAGCAAGGAAAGGCATCATTTGACCTTTCACAGCATTGTAGTGACTTAAAACCAAACTGATAATTAAGATTTTTCACCATATTCCAGCTAGCATGGCATTACGTGGTTGCACTATCAGACTATGCAGGGGTTATGTTGTTTGATTCCACTATATACCAACTAAAGTTATGAGTAGTTTTTCAACCAATGTCTCGTGTTTTGGTGTAATACATCTATGTTGCTTAAAAAAATGATCACAGAGACCACTTTCTTCCAAATATTTCAAGAAGTTTGAGAGTCTAAGAATGACTTACACTTTCCTTGCACTAAACTTCGACATGACTCCTTAAAACGGCCAAATAATCATAAATTTTATAAAGCTTACCAACAGAAATCAAGTAGTTCTCAATGTACATCTCGCATGATGCACAATCATTGGAGGCCACGTCATCACGCCTGTAGATGCACATAGCCGTCAGTCCGCTGTTATGTATGCAGTTGTCAAGTATCGAGATATTGTGATCGGAGAAAGCCGAGGTGGACAACACAGACATCAAGTTACGGAGACGTTCCTGTAGCGGGGCCTCTCTAAGTGAAGGTTTAACAACAGGCGGTGGTCCTTCCTACAAATACATAATGTTGGACATACTGTAACAATTTTAGTATAGGTCAAACTGGAGAATAAGACATTCCATAAAGGTCAAACTGGAGTAGAAACAAAGCAAAAGTGGGGCACAATACGCCCAAATGTAAATTTGTTTGAAAAATAAAAGTAAATCTTTCAATTAGGGTAGAGACCTACATAAGAAACTGGTCTGAAAAATGTTTTATCTTCATAATCCTAATGATACTATATGACGTCGAAGGTGAAGACATTTTTTACCCTACCTGCATATAAAAGTCTTCTCTAATTTTTTTGGGCATATAATAATAATCTGTATCAACATGATAAAATTTTATAATACTTCTAAAATCAGAAAACTATCAACATTGTATTACTTTGTTGTTTTTCTTATCTATTTTCTTTTGAATGTTCCTTTGCGTTAAGTTACCATAAGAGAACAAAACAGCCTGGTTTGATATCAGAATCTTTTTCAACTTCATTTAAATTTTAGGTATCAAGGTATTTTAATGAACATGTTAATGAACTATATTTACCATTCCATAGCTTACAAAACATAGATATAATGTAATTCCACTATCATTTTTATTTCTTTATATCGAACAATATTACATTTTCCTGTATTTATGAAATCAGATACACTTACTCCATCAACTTGCCCTACACCTGCTACAATAGCCTCATTCTGTACATGATCTTCTTCTTTCAGGTCATCTTCCTTTGTCATAGGAATCATCAATTCTGATATTGGCTTATTCATGAGAGATTCATACGCCATAACATATGTGTTCACTTTGCAAGTCTTTTTATTACTGTCAGTAGCTCTTGCAATACACGTGTCCTCTGTAACAATACATTATAAAATCATTATATATTGTCAAAGTATGAAATGCAGGACATACAAACAAAGCCCACGGTTTATGAGGTTATAAAATTTGTGCCAGGCATTGGAAAATCAAACCTGGGTTATAAAGAAGTTCTCAGAGCTCAAATTCAAGATCTCAGGCATTTGATTGGTCAGAAATTGCCACAGAATGGACATGACCAACGAAAATCAAGAGATCTGAGACATATATCAGAATAAAAATTAAAATCTTGAAGCCAGTGCTCCTGAATATTTCGCAAAAGCTTTTTAAACAAGGGAATTTCAAATTACCTTATTTGTGTTCTTTTGACTTAAATTTCAACTAAAAACACAGACAGCAAACAAGTTATACCATAACTATAATCAAAAACTGCATTTAATGCATCCATTTTCAGCAACTTTACTATTTAATTTTTATAGTACCCTGACAAACATTTACTAATGATGTTCTGATAACCTAAAAGAATGAAACTTGAATAAATAAGGAAACAATCAAATACATGGAATTTACATAAGAACAGCTACACCATTTTTACCAAGTATAAATTCTCCATCATATATTGGTTTCCCGCCTTCATCCCTGGTCTCCACCTGGAAAATGTGCCGTATTCCACAATGGGAAGCCATCATGGCCTGCTCAACCTTGGATATAGGATTGTCCGGAACCTTCGCTGGACCTTTTAGGTATGCTACCAACTTTCCAAGCCCTGTCTGTAAATTACGTACGGCATCTAGATTGTTTTTCATCTCATTAACCATATCTCCGACAGCCTGATTCATAGGAACACCCATCCCTTCTTGATATACACCTCTACCACACTTCTTCAATAAACGCTCTACACAAGTCCTGTTAGATAAATAGAATACAGTAAATAATTAAATATGCTTGAAGTTATCCATCTAAGCTCCATATTCAAGTGAGAAAAAGAGCTTGTAATATATCATACCATAACATAGACTAACAAGAATTAATGGTTTTAGAAACATTTCAAATTTTATTCAAAGCCACCATCAATAACCGGTGCAAAACATTGATTCCCTGCCACAGTCAGTTGTCAAAGGTTGTATTTATCGTGAACAAGGTAGGTTGTTGTTTTAATTAATTTTTTAACTTAAATATTTCACAATATATTTTAATTTGTGTACATACTTCACAGTATCAACTCCAGGGTCCTTCAACTCGTTGATGTCGGCCACAGATTTGCTGGTGAGAACTTCGTGAGCCTTGTTATATACTTCATGTTTCAGATCCTTCTTGTTCATTCCAACAGTGCGTGCCAGGAATATTCCACTGATACTCAGTTTACCAGTAAATAATAGCCTTTAAAAGTAATGATCAAACTGAAAACTTATTGATTATAGCGTATAAAAGCTATAGCGTATGGAATATTTCTATACAACTTAATAACAGTTAATTATATTGTTTCAATAATCTAATGGTTGATTCTTGATAAGAGTTATAACACAGAATGTCTTTATCTAACACACATAAAAATTGTACATAAAAAGAATAAAATGTTCCAGAACAAAATATTATTCTGCTATTTTAAGAAGGGTTTGATCAATTTAACAATGAGTTTGTGTATGCGCCTATTTTAAGATTACTATATTTATTTCTTACAGGCATGATGTAAGTATCATCTTATAAAATTTATAAAATAATTTTTGTAGCAGATATAACTAGAAATGTGTCCATAGGACACGGATGCCCCCACACGCCACTGTTCTGTCAATCTTATGACTCTAGGTCAAATATTTTTTGGACTACATGTGCCACAAGTTGAAAACTAAAAATCAACAAAGGGCCATAATTCTGTTAAATTTGGTCGCAGCAAAAATTCCTTCCTTTACTACCATCTACACATTAAGGTTGTTAATCCCTGGAAGTTTAAGCAAAATCTGCCATCCGGTTTAAGAGGAGTTGCATTCACAAAATTTAAACATAGTATATAATGAAACAATCAAAAAAGGGCCATAATTCTGTTAAATTTGGTTGCAGCAAAAATTCCTTCCTTTATTATCATCTACACATTAAGGTTGTTCATTCCTGGAAGTTTAAGCAAAATCTGCTATCCGGTTTAAGAGGAGTTGCATTCACAAAATTTCTACATAGTATATAGTGAAAAAATCAACAAAGGGCCATAAATCTGTAAAATTTGGTCGCAGCAAAAATTCCTTCCTTTACTACCATCTACACCTGAAGGTTGTTCATCCCTGTAAGTTTAAGCAAAATCTGCCATCCGGTTTAAGAGGAGTTGCGTTCACAAAATTTCTACATAGTATATAGTGAAAAAATCAACAAAGGGCCATAATTCTGTTAAATTTGGTCGCAGCAAAAAATCCTTCCTTTACTACCATCTACACATAAAGGTTGTTCATCCCTGTAAGTTTAAGCAAATTCTGCCATCCAGTTTAAGAGGAGTTGCGTTCACAAAATTTCTACATAGTATCTAGTGAAAAAATGAACAAAGGGCCATAATTCTGTTAAATTTGGTCGCAGCAAAAATTCCTTTCTTTACTACCATCTACACATTAAGGTTGTTCATCCCTGTAAGTTTAAGCAAAATCTGCCATCCGGTTTAAGAGGAGTTGCGTTCACAAGATTTCGGGACGTACGGACGGACGGACTGACGTATTGACGGACTGACGGACAAGTGACACGCTATATGCTCCCACATTGTGGGGGCATAAAAACTTTATACACTTTAACAGTATATAAATTAAGTTCTGAAACATATTTTTATACAGATAGACGCAGACACCTCCCCCTCCCTCACAACATCCAACTGTTTTGTCAGTCCACAGATGGACAGCAAGACAAATCTATATGCCCACAAATCCTGCTCCCTCTCTGCCACTTATGCTACCCATGCAGCTACTGCAGACCTAGGTCAGCCAGTAAACATCTGATTATGGTCTGCACTGTTTCCTACAGTCAGTATATATTTTGGAATCTTTTTCTAACTAGAACTGCCACTGTCATGGCGTGAATACCCCCGCATCCCACTTTGTCAGAATCAACAGTGGCCATTTAGAGCTCAAGGACAACGCCCCTGCCAAATCTGAGGTTACTAAGCCAGTGCTATGTATTCTACATGCTTCAAATGTGAAAATGTCAAAAATCAATAAACTGCGGACAGGCATTCTTAAGCAATTGAGGGGAAAAGCTATTTTTAGTTGACTTTTGACCCAGTGACCCTCAAAATCAATTGGGGTCACCTTATTGTCATGATCAACCTCCATGCCAAATATGAAGACTGTGGGTCAAAGGAATATTAAGTTAATGGGTGGACAATCTATTTGAAGTCAAAGTCCATGTGACCTTGATCTTTGACCCAGTGACCTTAAAATAAATAGGGGTCACCTACTTATCATGACTAACCTCCATGCCAAATATGAAGACTGTGGGTCAAAGGAATCTTAAGTCATTGAGCGGAAAGGCTTTTTTAGTCAAGGCCCCTGTGACCTTGACCTTTGACCCAGTGTAATAAAAGTAAATAGGTGTCATCTACTTATCATGACTAACCTCCATGCCAAATATGAAGACTGTGGGTCAAGGTTTCTTAAGTTATTGGGCGGACAAGCTATTTGAAATCAAGGCCCCTGTGACCTTGACCTTTGACCCAGTGACCTCAAAATCAAAAGGGATCATCAATTTATCATGACTAACATCCATGCCAAATATGAAGACTGTGGGTCAAAAGAATCTTAAGTTATTGGGCAGACAAGCTTTTTTAAGTCAAGGCCCCTGTGACCTTGACCTTTGACCCAGTGACCTCAAAATCAATAGGGGTCATCTACTTGTCATGACTAACCTCCATGCCAAATATGAAGACTGTGGGTCAAAGGAATCTTAAGTTATTGGGCGGACAAGCTTTTTTAAGTCAAGGCCCCTGTGACCTTGACCTTTGACCCAGTGACCTCAAAATCAATAGGGGTCATCTAATTGTCATGACTAATCTCCATGCCAATTATGAAGACTGTGGGTCAAAGGAATCTTAAGTTATTGGGCAGACAAGCTTTTTAAAGTCAAGGCCCTTGTGACCTTGACCTTTGACCCAGTGACCTCAAAATCAATAGGGGTCATCTACTCATCATGACTAACCTCCATGCCAAATATGAAGACTGTGGGTCAAAGGAATCTTAAGTTATTGGGCAGACAAGCTTTTTTTAGTCAAGGCCCCATGACCTTGACCTTTGACCCAGTGACCTCAAAATCAATAGGGGTCATCTACTCGTCATGACTAACCTCCATGCCAAATATGAAGACTGTGGGTCAAAGGAATCTTAAGTTATTGGGCAGACAAGCTTTTTAAAGTCAAGGCCCCTGTGACCTTGACCTTTGACCCAGTGACCTCAAAATCAATAGGGGTCATCTACTCGTCATGACTAACCTCCATGCGAAATATGAAGACTGTGGGTCAAAGGAATCTTAAGTTATTGGGCAGACAAGAAAAAACTGATAAAATCTATCTACCTACAAAGATTCTTGTTGATACCTCTTATGCTTTTTGAGTTATGTCCCGGACAAAGTTTAAAATGTAAGAATGAACAAATGGTAATAACTCCAAAATAAGCCAAGACAGAGTTATGTTTCTTGTGCAATGCACATCTACCTATTAAGATCTATCTACCTACAAAGTTTCATGTCGATATCTCCTATAGTTTTTCAGAGTTATGTCCCGGACAAGATTTTTCTAAAAGGGGGGATAATTCAAAATTGGTGGAAAATAGAGTTATGGTTCTTTGACACTGCACTCCACCTCAATGCCCTCTACCATTGAAGTTTAAACAAATTATTCATAAGGGTTTTAAAGTTATGCTGGGGACAAGACAACGGACAGAAGGACAAACAGACAGACAAGGTGGCGACTATATGTTCTCCCTTCGGGGAGCATAAAAAATAGTAATGATATCTGTCGTATCTTTTGGTTTGGGTCGAAACATCCGTCCAGATGGGTGCTCAGAAACGAATCTGAACCACAAACATGTCAAATATTTTTCTTGCATATTCTACCATAAAATGCTCTCAAATAAAGTCAATGTAAAGCAGACGACTCATCTGGCACCTAGACTGTCATCAAGCACAAGCCCAGCATATGAAAAGGTTGATACTCATGTATACCTGTTGTAAATCCTCGGTAGTTCGTCACACACATATTCACATCTCAGATTCATACCAGTGCAAGTACAAGCATTTTCTATTGACTGGATAGAATTTACTCTTGCAGTATCACCTCGCAAGAACTGGCTAAACTTCTCAAACTGTTAAAAAATAAATTTATAATACCATGTCACCGGGTTAGAACTTCATTTATAACTGCATTATTATAGATGACCAATGATCAGGCATTTACATCAGACTAGAACCATTTACAAAACTTTGTAATTGGTCATAAAGGGATTATTCCAATGAAGTTTGCTCAAAATCCACCATGTTGTTTACCAGATACATGTATAATTTAAAGATAATGTCACATTGTGGACTCATTTCCATCACAAAGCTCATCTCTGAGTGCTCAGGAGAGCTAAAAAGAAAATATTTATAACAAGAAGCGCCGCAATGCGACGAAAACCAGGTTTTCAACGACCAAGTTTTGATGTGAAAGCAATCAATAGGTCAAAGTGCACTGAAGTTATTGAGTAGAAGCTGAAAATTCTTTTGTAAGCAAATGACCTTGAAATTGCTCCCAGATATCTAAGTGGCAATCCAAAGCTGCCACTCAGCAAGTTTGGTGTCAAAAGGTCAAAGCAAACTCAAGTTATAACATGAAAACTAAATACATTAACCTTGATCACAGACACCTGGGTAGCAATCCCAAGCTGCCTCTTGATATAAGCTACCTACACACCAAGTTTGGTGTCAATAGGCCAAAGCAAACTCAAGTTATTGAGCGGAAACCAAAAGTTGACGCCTGCCTGCCCGCCTTCAGCATTACAATAACCCGGTTTTCGTTGAAAACCTGGTTAACAAAAAGTGTAAATAGGACACAAAAGAATTCACTTATCATTTATATTTTCTTAATTTAGTCAAGAAATAACAATTAATTTTGTTCCAAAATAGTTTACCTTTTCTACCAGTGAGAGGCTAGATCTATCTCCACCATAGCCACCACCACCACCACGGTAACCTCTATTTCCAAAACCTCTATTTCCTCCACCACTATTATATCCACCGCCTGATCCTCCAAATCCCCCACCTCTTCCTCCACCAGACCCGCCTCTTCCACCACCAGACCCGCCTCTTCCTCCACTGGAACCACCTCTCCCTCCACCAGACCCTCCCCTTCCTCTATTTGTATTACTATTTCCACCCCAATTCCCACTTCCTCTACTATTATACCCTCCCCCTCTTTGATTTTTATTTGCCCCTCCACCTCCAAACTGACCTCTAGCTCCTCCTCCACCTCCTGCTCCTCCCCCTGTAGCTCCTCCTCTACCCCTCCCACCACCTGAAGGCTTTGGTTTAGAAATTTGATCCCAAGAAGTCAACTCTGACATATCATCCCATGAAAAGGCAGCTGGTTCCTGTTCTTTCATATTATCCCAGGAGGTTGGTCCCTCCTCATAAACTTCCGCCTGAAAGTCTGACTTCTGACGTTTAAAACTATACCCTTCATCCTCAGTCACGCCTCTTTTCACCTGTCCAAAGTTGCCCTCAGACTGGTAGCCACCCATGTCAAGCAAGGATGGTGTTTGGTTGTTGTCACCATAGTAGGAAGAATCTTGGGCATTTCCATATCCTGTTGCTGTTTGACCAACATCGGCACTGTACGACCCAGACTGATCAAAGAATGCTCCCCAGCTCATTGTTGCTTTGTCTTACAAATATCTGTTTGAGGGTAACATATCAACAACCATTTATATTTTAAAATAAAAAGTATAACTATGTTCTTTTCGGAACTTTACAATTTTGATAATAACCAAGGGACTTCTTTTATTCTTCTGTATCCTCACAAACTGTTTACTTACTGAAGTTATGTCAGTATTTTGTTATTCAAATTTAGAACAAGGTTTAGCAATGTCTTCAAACTTTGTTTCCTTCAAATGCCGGAGACAGTATAACAAATACTTAAATGAATGTTACCTTAAATGCAACATTTGTTACACAGAGACTGTACACTTATCATGCCCGTAACATTTTTATTCAATTATCAAAAAACATGTAACTATGATAGATGTTTTTTATTGAAAATAATACGAGAACCTTGGACCTGTTTTTACAATACTGTGTATCTGCAGCATTGGTTTTTTTTGGAAAATTGCCAAGTTAATATGATCTATTTAAACAGCTGCAGTAAATTAATCGTAACATCAAATTGCAGAATTCTGCAGTATGAATAATTTAATATAAAGGTTTTGTCAGGTTATATGCTATTGCATAAACAGTTGTTTGCTACATTGTATATAACCCTTGCCTAGCAGCTTGGGTAACATAAACTTGGGTTATATAAGCTTTTATACTTCCATTTATACATAACATAATTAACCTTTCAACAAATCCATATATTACCATTGTTCAAGAGGGGACAATTATGAGATTTCATCCAGGCACCAATGTGGATGTTGAAAATAAGAAATTGCAATATAGATGTACTTTTAAGTCTGTTTTAAAAGTTATGTTTTTATGAACATATATGTATGTTAATTTGTAATATTGCAAACCATGTTTGATTTCACTTAAAACGTTGAAGTTAAATTAAATTGAATTTGTTTAATTCAAAATCGTGCATTGAAAGTCATCAACATATCAATATCTACTACAAAAAATGTTCTGTTGAGTATTGAGTAATTCATTCCAAAATTACTCAACTGTCCTGATCTATGGTTAATTCAAGACATTTCTCAAAATGCCAAATAAGCTTTCTGCAAGTTTTGGCATTTTGAAAGGCAGCATTTTAGTATAAACTGACATTACTTCACCCAATCATTTACCTTGAAATACAGAAAATAATATTCAGAAATTCTTGTTTCATGGTTCATAAATTAAAAAAATTGTTTTCCAACTTACATTTTATCATATTTTCCCCTTCTGGTGCATGATGTTCTCTAACTAACATATATTCTGTGACTTATCAATGTATTTGAGCCATGTTTATTATGTTGATTCATGTTTTATTTTCTCACTAATGTACCATTTTCCCGGACTTAAAAGCCCTTTTTTGTGTACCTTCCAAGACTTATGTACCATGTTTTCTGATTTACGTATCAAATGTTCCATTTGTGTTTTATACATATCATGTTCCCTGATTTATCTATCATGTTCCCTAATTTACATATCATGTTCCCTGATTTATCTATCATATTCCCTAATCTACATACATGTATCATGTTCCCTGATTTATCTATCATGTTCCCTAATTTACATATCACATTCCCTGATTTATCAATTGTGTTCCCTAATTAACATATCATGTTCCCTGATTTATCTATCATAATTTATATAGTTTGTGTTCTCTAATTCACATGATATATGCAAATATGAGAACTGATGTATATTTCATATTCCATAACTTACATATTATGTTCCCTGACAAACATGTTCCATGACTTACATAATTATAATGTTCACTGACTTACATATTATTTTCCTTGACTTACATATCATGTTTTCTCGCAAACATATTATGTTCCTTGACTTCACTTACATATTATGTTTTCTGATTTAAATATTATGACCCTGAACTTAAACATCAATTGTTCCCCAACTTATGAATAACTATATTTAGCAAATTAAACATCATGCACACTTAATATAATATGCATTGTAAAATCTAGTACTAGTAGTTTTTCCCAATCATATTTTTCCCATTATCATATTTCTAACCTTTTTCTCCTGTTTTCCCAAGTTTCTATAAACTACACTCCCAAGCTTATATATCCAATTGTATATTATCTCCCCTCTTATACATATGTAAAATTGGAAATAATATACATATTATTATTCTAAACCATAACAAGACTTTCTCAACAGAACCTTTATTGTGTAATTAATGAAAGAAGCCAAAAAAAAATTACAAATATTGGTAACATGAACCAATTTAATCAATTTGATTGCATTTTATCTAATTTCAAGAATAAATGCAATAAAATAATAATTATAATTTCAAGCTGTGATTTTAAAGACAATATGAAATTACTTATACTACATTAAAATGCTATCATATTAAAGTATGCATGTTTTGTTAACATAACAATTATTGTTATATTTACACAACCAAGGGAAATATTTCTGACATTACATTTTTACATTTTTCTCCAATTCTCTTACAAACGTTGTAAGACAATTGGAGTTACCAAAAACATTCAGAAAAGTGTTTCATCAATATTGTACATATTACATGTACAATCTTATGAAGTTTGAAGAATCAATCAAATCAAACTAAAATTTAGTTTCATTTTTTTTTTAAATCATAAAAAATCAAATTGTTTAAGTACAGAACATTGCTAGTCTTTCTGAAGACATTTAGCAAAGTATAAAATAGATTACTAGTATTTGCATACTTATTTTATGAAACAATGTGAATTTGCTGTAAAATTTGGGTTACTTTTTTGACTGATATTGAAACTACCGGTAATACTAATTTTCATAGTATATATTTACAGTACTTAAAAGTCTTGAAAAAAGTTAACATACAAAATAAGGTTTGTTTCACATCAAATATACAATGAATTTCTTTCCCTTATTAATATGAAGTAAGTTTACACTTGATGTCCCTAAATTTGTCTTCTGACAGCACTTTTCTGAATGATTGGAAACGTATCTCAATGGTTTACAATGATAACCATGAGTAATGTGAACTTTGGCTTCTTTCATTAATTCAAAACAGTTACGTTTTCACAATCTGTTTCTAAAAATACCTGTAAAGATAAGACTGACTTTGCAGCCTTTTCTTTTCAAGTCCTGAACTTTGGAAATTTGTTGTCTTCTGACCTCTAGTTTACACACACCTAAAATTAGAAAGGAAACCACTTCAGTGAAAAAAGCACAAGTTTATTCAAGAACCCTTTCAGCTCAAAAACAACTTAGTTAACATTTTAATCACAATGCAATATAACACAGAAAATCAAGAGAATGTTTATGACTACATCTGCATGTGCCCATCCAATTCTGTCATCTAATTCGGTAATCCAAGTGGGACAACCTTTACTTTCTGAAAAGAAATAAAAAATAACACCCTAATTCTTTAAAGAAAATTTGGTTAGATAAATCAATTCTGAAACATTGTTGTCACTGAACTTGGCCTAAAAAGCCCAAAATCTTTATACATGTAGATCTGTATCATGTTATACATTAATCAGAACACTATAAGTTCATTCTTTATTCAATGGTGTACAAGCCAAAACATCAAGTTTTTTCCAACCCATCTATATACACCTAAAGAAAGAGCTGGTTGGTGAAATCTGAAGAATTTTTGTGAAATTTAATATAAAATAGACTAGAGACTTTTAAACTGCAAACTGCAGGAGGTAGGGGGTTCCAGTGGTATACAATCCTAGCCCTTCCAGCATACCCTGCTGCCCTGCCAACTAACACTCATAAAGTGAAAGAAAAGTGCTTTGTATTGGAATAATCTGAATCTTTTATACAACACATAAGTTAGTTAGAATAAACAATTGTAGCAGCAAATGAGTGCTAATAAGGTGTAAAATTTTTTTCATAACTTTGAAGCATTAAATATTTGCCCTTTTATTCCATTTTCACGTACAAGAAGTGCCCTTTTTAGTGAGAGCACCTGCCCCTTTTCTTGGCTAGAAATAACACTACATGGTGTGATATTTGGGAGAGGGGTGTCAAATATTCTTCTATGGGGATAGCAACCTGACCATGATGAATCTTATAGAAAAGGGATAACCTAGCATCTATACATATGAGTTCCAGTTTATGAAGCTTAGGCCAGGGAGTGAAGCATGTCCGTGACACTAGAGGTCTGACCATATGATAAACTACCTTGATCTACCAGACTGCTCTTTTTTGGACATTTTTAGTTTGATTTATTTGAATTTTGGTGTTTGGAGACCATAGGCCTACTTGGGAACCATATTCAATATGCGGTCTGACTAACGTCTGGTAGGCAAATTGCTTAGGCTTTATTATGTTTCTGCATACAAAACATATGGTTTGGTTTGCTTTCTTGGATGTCCTGTTTATATCACCATCACAAGTAAGGTTTCCTGATAATGATATATACACGCCTATGTATTTAGCTGAGGTAACCAATATTTTCTTATTGGAAATTCTAGCCACTGTACGGGCCCATACGGCTAGCCACTTCCTTTCTATAATGGAAGTGGGTAGCTGTACGGGCCCGTACTGCTAGCCAAAAGTTCTAGTCGTACGTGAGTCATACTATTAGCCAGGACACACTGCACATCTATTGTCTAGCCGTACGGCACTTTTCAGAATTATATGCATATGTTAGTTTGTTTCTTTAAATGAGGATTTTTACCAAGTCCCCGCATTTTTCCTTTTGTGTGTTCACTTTAATAAATATGCTCGCAATTTTGTAAAAATATAAAAATAAATAAAAATGAATAGATCTAAGAGGGTACGTAATGCAAGCGTTATTATCTTGATAAAAGTGTCACAGTTGCATGTTATAAGTTATAACGTGATTGTTTTTCATGCTTTTATTTGTAAATGAAAGATGCAATTTGAAATCATTTTTTGTTAGAATAGAATTTTAGAATGCGTTTCTTGGAACATGCAAACTTTCTTAATGATGGACAAACTTCTACTGGGCCATCCTTAATAATATATATGTTTGCTATCGTTTAAAATAATGCACGCAAGATTTGTCTCCTATAATTTCTGAATGGCGGATATTTGCACCCGTTTTAAAAATGTTAAAATATTTAATTGTTAGTTACCGAAAATTATCGGTGATTGTTGAAATTCCATAGTGCTAAAAGACACAAAAACACTCGCACAAAAAGTAGCATCCATAAATAAAAGGAATATAATGTTTCCATTGTTAAATAATAAATACAAAATTTACACACGAAATGACCTCTGACAAATAACTGGTCGGCTCTTCTGAGGAATCTGTAAATCTTTGATGTTTACAAGCCTGTAGTTGTTGCCGAATCATCAAAGAAGTGCCGACACTCAATTGACTTCCAGCTCTTTTTAATATATCAGAAAAAAACTGTCATTTCTTTTTGTAAAGGAATGATTACACATGTTTAATTATTGCTCAAGTAAAAAAAATGTTGGATATTTATTGTGTCAATTATTGACATATTATTAATCGTAAGTGCATTTTGACATGGAGTTTAATTAGATGTATGTATATCTGTGATTTTGATTGTGATATTTTATTTACATTTTTATGATCGTGAAGATATTGTGCAATACTTGTGTCTGCTATCAAAACAATAATGCATATGAAAGGACCACAGCTTCCAAAAATTTATTTTTTCGGTCAATTTTATGACAGAATTCCCGCTGCTACTAGAAATGTTTTATTGCATGGGCTAAGTATTTAATCTGTGTCGGCAGTCTTAAACAAACAAACATGTACCCCAAAGCACATTAAAATTACCACATGGTAAACTAGTGACCATCTAAATGATTTACAATTATTCATTAATTGAACAAACATTATTTTTAACCCGGTTCCACACTTTAATTTGATATGTTCCATTATAAGTTAATTCAGCTTAATTGCCGCGTGCACGCAGTACTGCGTGAAGTAAGGAAAATAGGGAAGGTCGCTATTTATGTAAATACTTCAAATAGTAACACCCTAATTTTATGCACAGAATGCCCTCATGATCTTGTTACTTTACATATTAAATGTGTGATTTTCCTCTGATTTTATTTTTGTTTTCGAGGGAATTTTTTGAGTCGAATGCCCTGGCTCATTTGGTGAAAATAAAAAGAAATCTGATTTTTTTAAGCTGAAAAAAACTTTTGAGTCGGGCATTTTCGCCGGGTCGGCCAACAATAATAAAGCTGCAATAGCAAACAGATAATTTTTTAAAAGTGGCCCTATCGGTAATTGACGCAATTATCACAGCCGGGCAACAATTATTTTCAATTTTTTTTATTTTTAAACTTAAAGGTGTTGAAAATTTAACTTATTGAAACAAAACAGGATCACAATTTTGTTCTTCAACTGTTACCAAACGCTCCTTTTTCTCCCCATCTGGTTGATATTCGTACTTTCTTTACTGTAGCCAACTAGGCGATAAATTTCTTAAATTACAGTGAGCCAATACAGTGTGTCCTGGCTAGACGTACGTGACTCACATACGGCTAGAAATTTTGGCTAGCCATACAGGCGCGTACGGCTAGCTACCTCCTCCTATAATTGGACTCCCAATATATATGATTGGATGAGGGGTGAAGTGTCTTACTGATTTTGGGGGGTGAAGTGTCTTAAGGGGTGAAGTGTCTTCAAAATTTGAGGGGTGAATATCCGGTCTTTGTCCCCCGGGGGACAGTAACATTTTAGTGTGTATTTCAGTGACAGTGGGGGTGAGGTGTCTTGCTACCATATGATTCAGATAAAAGAGTACAGTACTTAGACATAAATCGTTTTGAAAATAATCGAATCTGTTTGCATGAAATCGAATAAAACATTTGGTGAATAGTTGCAGGCCTATAAACAACAGGTTTTTCTACGAAACACCTTCCATTTTCACCACTCCCCACCCATCTCAAATCTAGGGGTGTAACAATACAGCAAAAACTGTATTGCAATATATTGCCATTTTGCTGAAGCGTATTGCAATATATTGCAATACGTATTGTCGTGTATATGTTTTGATGTAAAGATGGAGTAACATTTATATATTATTATTATATGTATATATTTTTAGTAGAAACTTAATAAAAATGTAAGGAATAAATAGAAAGTAGTGTCACACAATTTGATCAACAAAACTAGTCGCGTGTGACCTTTCACATCTGGGCGGCTTATGTAAATTATGTGGCCGCTTATTGACTTTCAAGTGTACTAGTTGTCGGATACTTTTATCATACGTTGGTGCCAACAAAATTTGCCAATTAAAGATTTTATGTGAATTTGTACAAAATTAGAAGGCAATTAATTGAAAATGATGATTTTTATAAAATACCGGTTTTCCAAAAATCGTACCGCGGTTCGAAATTTATTTTTTCATATTGCAATATATACTGTTCTCCTCTTAGTTCACGGTACTTAACACTTTAAAACAGTAAAGAACACAAACAATAAATTTACACTACAAAAACTGTCATAAACTGTATCATTTAGTCATTTTTCTGTTATATGACACAAGGAAACAACAATATATTCAATCAAAATTAGTTTTAATTTGTCAGATGTAGACCGTGTGTCGGCCATTTTGAAAACAGTATGTCATAATTTAACTCGCGGTAATGGTGTTTTATTTCAGTTTTTTCATGTTTCAGTTAAAATTTCTTTATGTTATTTTGCATTAGTTTAAATTTTAAAAGTATCTTTACATTGTAGATCAAAATTTATTCTTTCAACAAACAAGAACATTTAGAAAATGATGATTGTTTCAGACGTATGCACAAATTTAATGGACTATTGTTTTTTTTGCAGAAGTTTGTAAAATGTTGTTCAGTTTTATGTAAAAATCTATAGATTTAAATTATTTTGCACAAAATCTTTCTTGTTAAGGTGTTTGAATAAAATATGTCAATTCTGACCAATTTTAACACTGGTCACGTGAAAATATGCCATTACCGTGAGATAAGTGATGACGCGGAGTTAGTGATGTTGAGTATATCGGTATACCGGTAAACCGTTACACCCTTACTCAAATCTCATGACTTTGATTTCGATAAAAAATAACGAAAATTGATCACACTATTTCTTGTATTTTGATGACACTGATAATTGCACCAAAGGAGTTAAACAAATATTGAAATGAACAAATTCATCTATGGCGATCTAACCTGCTAAATTGGCGATTTGGATTTGTAGACTTTTAACCGGCACAGTTAAGCGAACATCCGGGGACTTGTACCGTAAATGTTGTTAAAGGGACATAACTCGTATTTCTGGAAGGCTGTGAGGTACTAAGTGTAATTTGTTAATGGTAGGTCTACTCCTTTTTAAGAGTTTCCTCTCTCCCCTTATTTTGTGGAGACATTTTCCCATTTTATACTGTTAAACAACTTTGTCATCTGAAATGTTTGATAAAATCTGGAACATAAGATAACAGTTATCTTATGTCCCAGATGAAATGTAAAATTATTAATCAATTTGAAAAAGTATTATAATCATATAGAAGAAAACAGTTTCCATTTGCTTTTAACAAGATTGTTACAGAATTATGTCAATGAATGTGATTAATATTACATGCAGAAAAAATATTACTGGAGATCCTGCTTAAAATACTTTAAAGTGATACGTTTATCTTCCAAGAAAAGTATCTATACTTTTTAGCACCTTTTTTCGGGGTATTTTAATCCAATCAACAACTTCATTTTTGAAAGATTACATGTGTGTGGGTAGTGATTAATTGTAACACCTGTAAATATCATTAAAGTCAAATGATAAATCAATCAATCACATTCATTTGTTTGAATAGTCAGTCAAGTTAATTGATATGTACATTAATATTTGATAAACTTATTTAAACCTTTAAGTTATGATTGTGGGTGTGGGGTTTCTATAAGTCAGTAAATTCCCTTACAATCTATTTAATTATTGCTTCAGACCTAAATAAAATGGTCCATAAATATCTTGGAAAAAAAATCTAGTCTTGCGATATCATTGGTAGATCTACCTTAATAATACCTTTCTGCTAAATTTGATAAAACATTTTTTACACAATTTCTATTAAGTAAGTTACCTGTCAGTGCATTATGCTAGAACATGGTCTTTCAAATAGATCTATTTGAAGGACCCTGACTAGAAACATTGAATAACGTTTAAAGCGAATAAATTTTACTGTAAAAAAATTAATAAGATAAATAAAAAATTGGAATTTTCTTTTTTGAATTGCTTCATTTACTCTTGATATCAAGCAAATTCATTTGAACAATCTTTATAATCTCTGTGGTCATTATATTTTGACTTTATTTATCACATAGCCACACGATTTGACAATATTTTCTTCATAATTTATCCGTCTCCCAGCAATAATCTTACTTGATCCAAGAAGGCATGTTTTTCAATTTGATCTATTCATTTTTTCGGGAGACCACACAAGTTTTTGTTCCTTACATAGGCACTTGGTTTCGGGACAAAGACCTTTTTACTAATCAGTAGCTGTCAACTTTACAAATGTAACGATTTTTTTAAGTAAAGTTCGTCGTTGTTGTCAACACACGACGTTTTCAGTTGTAAATCAGCTGTTGCTTTATGGATTGGGACTTCACATTTATGTAGAAATATCAGTACCCTTAATCGAATGAATGGAATTACCAAAAATAATGAATCACTGAAAGATGCTACTGCCAGTAAAAATATAGTACTTTGGAACCGATTAACTTAAAAGATTGAAGAGCTTTATTTTGGAAAGTCACGTGACAATCACGTGAAGTAATGGAAATGTATCGACTGCAATTTGTTGCGATCATTATTGTACTATTTTCATCTTGTTTTGGAGTGAATGCTTCACCCAAATATGTCGAGAAACATTTTGATCAAAGGCTAGATCATTTCAATTTCGTTTCATACGGTGACAAAACGTTTAAACAACGTTATTTGATACAAGGTGCATGATTGATTTTTGTGTAGCCTCAAACACTAGACAACAGTATACATGCAGGGATCACTTCTCCATCGTCTAACAATCTGTCTGTCAGTCCGTCGCAAAACTTGTCCACACTGCTCAAAAATTAGCTAAAGAGACTTCAGGGAACAGGTTTTATAGTACTGCTTGCTTAGACCTGTCGCACAATGTCAAAAATAGAAGCGACATACATGTACATAGGCCTACAAAGGCTACATGTATAATGTTATGGAAGCCAGAAGTGGTGCAATTTCTTCCAAACTTTACAGTACAGGAATGATCAGTACCAAGTGTAGTTGTGCATATCTTCAGAATTTTCCATTTTAATGAGTTAAGTCAGTAGTTGTGGATAGTGACTGCTCATCTGAAGTCCCAGTTACCTCTGGAGTGCCCCAAGGCTCGGTCCTAGGGCCCCTCTGTTTCCTTCTATATATCAACAAGTTACCATCTTCTGTCCTCAAATCCCAAGTCAGATTATTTGCAGACGACACTGCTGTATACCTAACCATCAATTCCTCCTCAGACCCCCCAACTCTCCAACATGATCTAGACAATATGGTTCTGTGGGAGAAGCAGTGGGACATGGAGTTTAACCCTTCAAAATGCCAAGTCATCCATATCACCAAAAATAAGACCATAATTAAACACAAATATATGCTCCATGGCCAAATCCTAGAGTCTGTTACAAATGCTAAATATCTCGGACTAGATCTATCTGCTGACCTTAAATTTAATACACATATATCTCGAATAACTTCCAATGCAAACAGATCCCTTGGCTTTATTAAAAGAAATGTCATCACTAAAAATGAGAAAGTAAAAGAACTAGCATACAAGTCCCTGGTCCGCCCACAGGTTGAATATGCCTCATCTATTTGGTCTCCTTATACTAAAACCAATATTGACAAAGTTGAGATGATCCAGAGACGTGCAATAAGATGGGTTAAAAGGGATTACTCCCCTCACTCTAGTGTCACAGCCATGCAGGAAGAACTGGGCTGGCGATCCCTTGAACATCGCAGACTGGACTGTAGACTGATAATGTTTTATAAGATATACCACAACCTAGTTGCAATTAATCTCCCAACTTATGTTCAAACCCCACATAGATTAACCAGACATATGCATCCCTTATCCCTACGTCAAATACAGGTATCCTCCGACTACCATAAGTACTCTTTCTTCCCTCATAGCATTATACTATGGAATAAACTTCCTAGTAACATTGCCACCCTGCCCAACCTGAGTCAGTTCAAACAGGCAGTGGTGGGTTTGCAGTACTAGTCTTACTCCCAGTGTTTTTAAACTATTTTATCTCTTATCATCTTGTTTCACTATTAACATTTTAACCATGACTAGAATACATTTTCAGTCTCACCTTCCAAGCATGTCAATGTTTGGACTTTTCTTTTTAGCTTTTCTCTTCACCTTTTACTAACAATCCGACGTGCACTAAATTCCTGCCTTTAACACTCGTAAGAGGGGTTGGCAGTATCCAGAGATAGATAGATAGAGTTTTGTCAAGAGTTACTGCAGTATGGCCTTTTAATGATTATTATTTTTAAAATTTGTCAGGACTACTCATCCTATACCACTTATACAATTTCAATGAAATTTTTGGCTGAGTTATGGCCCTTGAATAAAAACATGTTTTGCCCTAAAATTAATGATTTTTCTATCTCTAAAGTATACAGTAGCTGCAATTGGCTATTATGAGGCAACACATGTGTCACTGATCGCTCTTATTTAAATAAATGTGTCGGCACTGATGCATCATGTTTGCGTTGTCGTAAAAAGAAATGTGCTATCATATCATGTGCATATTTTTTACCGTGTTTTAAATTTGTATGATAGTGTGGTGTTAAAGCTTACACTGACAGTTTCTGTGAGTAATCTTAAAATATTAAGAGGATATTTTTTCGTTTGAGTGAAATATGGAATAGAGCGGGTGTGGGTATTACCGAACGTGCGTGTATTTCTGAACACAATTTTTTTTCTCACCATAACCTTCTTAATATTCTTCTAATAAGGCAGTGACATCAGAAACAAGATGTCACTTCCTTTCCCGATATATCTGTTATATTGCCAGCGTGATACTTGACAAATCAAAGATTTCCAAGACTAAAATACTACTACGCTTGACAAGTATGTGCTCCGTTACAAATATTCTAATTTTAGATACCTGACGTCATAAGGTTTTCTGGTCAAGTGATTTTGATAAGTTACATGTTTCTTGTTATTTGTGAAGCTAATACATGTACTGTGATATGGGAAATAACTCAATATGTCACTTAGATATTTATTTACTGAGTTATTTGCATGTTCGGAATTACAAGAAGTTAAATTTTGTCATGTGTGTATTACCGAACGCAATGCTTACACTGATTAAAACAACACAGTTATCATTATTATAGCGTTATAAATTTATCTAAATACAAAATAAATAATTTCATACATCTACATAAATTAATTAATTAATTAATTAATTAAGCAATTATCAATCAATTGATTAAAATTAATTAATTAATTAATCAATTGATTAATTAATCAATTAATTAATTTTTTCATTCAACCAATCAAAAAGATATATAGAAAGATAAATAAATGAATAAGTAAATATAAAAATAGAATAACAAATAAATAGATAAACAAATAAATAGCTCTAGAGAAAGAAAAAAATGATCAGACAGACATAGACAATTTCTTTTTATGAATGAGCAGGGAGAAAAACTCAAAACGTAATTGAGCAGAATTAAATGCTTGACCATGTAGCTGAATTAGATCGTTTAAACTCTGTTAGTTGAAACCATTTCATCAAAAAAGGATGGGATTCCATAGTCCACCCCTCACAATACTGTCCCGGTCATAAGTTGGCCAGTTCTAACTAAAGTCTGAGGATAGACGTTTTGTAGAATTGATCATGCACATGTCACAATTATCGGCTATGGAGGCACAAGACAAGAGCTTGCACACACTTGAACTTGAAAATACTTTATGGAGAAGGTCCCTGAACAGTCTTTCGTGAAAACAAACCCAGCAGATCTTGGCTGGAGGGTTACTATCGCCGCAACCCTGAACTGACTCTTCGTACAACCATTCAGCTTGGAAAGAGAAAGGGAGGGAGAGAGAGAGAGAGAGAGAGAAAGAGATCGATTGATTGTTTCCCCAGAAAAGGTTAAAAGATTAAAAGATTGTTTTCTGATTTCAAACACTACCTTAGGGAGGAGTTAAAAGATACAGATTTACGTAGATTTCACATTACCTGAGTATCTGACAAGTACCTCTTTTGAGTACAAATAATGTTAAGATCACATGGTCAGCTGTTATTGAATGGAAATTAATTGGTCTTTAAATTATTTAATATTTACACATTTGAACACGTAATCTAACATGTTATCTATGTCTCTGGTAATACATTGTTCAATAGTGAATACTTGCGAAACATATATTGCTTAAATCAATAGTGAAATGATTTGTTTTAAATTTATCTATATTTCAGGTGAAGATTAACGTTTTTTTTTTAAAAAGTTGGCAGTGTTCGGAAATACACGCATGTGTGTTTGGTATTTCACGCATATGGTCGGTAATAGATGCAGTCAGGTCTAATATATGAAATGTCATAACTCTTTAGATAATGTGCGTAGATAAGTGTTTCTTGCATGTAAATGTAAAGGAAAACTCATATTCGTCAAATGTCAATTGAAAATCGTGATTTCTGCGTGTATTACCGAATACTACTTATTTCACCTTAAGTGTTCGGTAATACCCACACCCGCTCTATATACCATATTTCACGAAAAACGAAAAAATAACCTTTTTATTTAATTTCATTATTAAAGAAAAATGGTTACGACCCCCTTGCTTGCTACGCAACTGCAATTGTACAGCGCGCAGTAATATAATTATTGTCTTGTTTTGCGCACGTTTTTAGCGCAACATTGTGACGTCACGTAAACAAGTCTTTAAACGTCTGTACAGCATTAATGACTGAATTAAAGATATTGGTGTTCGGATTTATTTTCTTAGTTAGACCATTTTCTATCATTCTTGATAGTTTTCAAAACAAAATTCAACAAAAATTTGTTTTGTATTTTCAGATTTTTCAAACAGAATGTCGAAAGAAGTTCGTTAAAATAAATATGAGTTTTGACTCTGCCTACTTTCATATTTATATTTCATATTTATCTTTAAAATAAAATGAAATATATTTGACTGATATAGCACCATATTTCATGGGTAAAATTAAATAATGACCATATATCTTTTAGATCAATGGTGGAATCCGGGTAAAGGACCAATATTTTTCTACACTGGTAATGAAGGCCCTATAACAACATTCTGGGATGCCACAGGATTTGTGTTTGACATAGCACCTCAATTTGGAGCTCTTGTAGTGTTTGCAGAGCATGTAAGTTTTTAAACATCTATATATAAGTTTATCAATTTTGGCTCCAATACCCTCTCCATTTACTGATTTTGTATATATTTCTCCTATTTATGGAAAAAATTCCCTTCCAATGGCAAAAAAATAGTTTTTAATCATGGTCTTGTACATGTGCTCAGATTCTTGTTTTAATCTTATTTTGTCCCACAGTATAGAAGGGAATATATTTTTAATTATTTTCTTAGTTAATGATCTTTTATTTTTCAGTAGCAGTTAAATTCTGAAGTAAGGGAGATAACAATGCAATGGCTTTGTTAAGTTATTACTATAATGACAGTATTGTTTATCCCCCTTTACTAAGTAGATGTGGATAATTTTATTACAAAACCTTTTATGGCATGGGTCCTTGAAATTTTTCTTCAGAATATTATAGTAGCTTGTTTGTCCTTTCGTCAATCTTTTGATCTGTCTGTCACTGCTTGTCACTGTGATAGTACCTTTAGTCATTGACTGATATCTCAGATACTTGATATACGGTATTGTTGGTTGATTACAGTAAGAATTTTGAGGCTAAAAATAGATTACTATTTTGTCCAAGTGAGGTCAAGCAGCAGGGCTGGCAAAATCTAAGTTTTACTTACTTGTCAGTTTTATTTGAAACATTCATTTACTTTTCTGTATGATATTTATAATGTTAATACTGGAAAAAATTTCACTTGTCAATTTGGGACAACCTAGAAATTGATTTTCCAGCTCTGGTATATGTTGATGATATTGCACTATATTTATTTATATTTATCTTAATATGAATGTCCCATTTAATATACCAGTACATAAATCTCATTTTACTGTCTGCATTGACAAGAGCTTGGGAATTAAAAATCTCTCCTTTAAAATATCTATAAACCCAATCTTAAGAAAGAATGTACTAATAAAGAATGAATTTTGTAAATGCACGTGTATACAGAAGATTCTAAAGATGTCACGGTTAAAGGTGCCAATTTTTTACCAGAAGAAAAATTCAGGAAACAGTTTTTTAAAGGTTTGTAGCTTTTTTATATTATTTAATTATAGTGATGTAAATTTCCTCCTTTTAGTGGACATATAGTTTCTCTCTTCCATGCGGTTTGAAGTCTTGGGGCATCACTTTACTTTAGGTTCTAAATTGTGCCTACCAGTTTAGCTGAAGACCCACTACTATAATATTAACCCTTAAATATTAGATTAATCACTATTTATTTAAGCTTGCTTTTGTCGTCATCATGGTCATAACCCAAGAAGACCTCAAACCTGATATCTGGATTGAGAGGCAGATACCTTAATCATAAGGCAATCACAAGGCTCCCACACACCAAAGATGTAATAGATTTGAGTAAAAAAAGCTTGGATACTATATTAAAAGATAACAACCAATATTTCTACTGGATAAGCCAATACTGACACTGTATAAGCCAATATCGGTTCTTGATAAGCCAATACTGACACTGTATAAGCCAATATTGGTTCTGGATAAGCCAATACTGACACTGTATAAGCAAATATTGGTTCTTGATAAGCCAGTATTGACACTGTATAAGCCAATATTGGTTCTTGATAAGCCAATACTGACACTGTAGAAGCCAATATTGGTTCTGGATAAGCCAATATTGACACTGTATAAGCCAATATTGGTTTTTGATAAGCCAATACTGACACTGTAGAAGCCAATATTGGTTCTTGATAAGCCAATATTGACACTGTATAAGCCAATATTGGTTCTTGATAAGCCAATACTGACACTGTAGAAGCCAATATTGGTTCTGGATAAGCCAATACTGACACTGTATAAGCCAATATTAGTTCTTGATAAGCCAGTATTGACACTGTATAAGCCAATATTGGTTCTTGATAAGCCAATACTGACACTGTAGAAGCCAATATTGGTTCTGGATAAGCCAATATTGACACTGTATAAGCCAATATTGGTTCTTGATAAGCCAATACTGACACTGTAGAAGCCAATATTGGTTCTTGATAAGCCAATATTGACACTGTATAAGCCAATATTGGTTCTGGATAAGCCAATATTGACACTGTATAAGCCAATATTGGTTCTTGATAAGCCAATACTGACACTGTAGAAGCTAATATTGGTTCTTGATAAGCCAATATTGACACTGTAGAAGCCAATATTGGTTCTTGATAAGCCAATACTGACACTGTAGAAGCCAATATTGGTTCTGGATAAGCCAATATTGACACTGTATAAGCCAATATTGGTTCTTGTTAAGCCAATACTGACACTGTAGAAGCCAATATTGGTTCTTGATAAGCCAATATTGACACTGTATAAGCCAATATTGGTTCTTGATAAACCAATTTTAGCACTGAATACTACTTGTCAATACCAGAACACAGGATAAGCCAATTCGTATCCCGTTTGAAAAAGTTTGGATGTGAACAGCTTGAACCTTTAGTTTACTCAAAAGTTTTTAAACTCTGTATCCTCATTTTAATTTAATGGTTAAGAAATTATTAATATATCCTTAGCTCATTGAGGTGAAAGTGTATAAAATACCAGATTAAAAAAGTTCAAAGGTCATATCTTTAAAAGGAACTCAACTGAGGTTCAAAAATCCAAAAACATAAAATTTGAAATTCTTACACAAATCAACTACAGAATTTAAGAAAGAAAAAATAAATGCTAAAGATGATTTAGAAATACACACTGAATGAATTCTAAATTGATTGTTTGTGCAACTCATAGCCTAATTTGAGTTGCAAGCAATTATTTTGGTCTCATAGAAAAAAAAGAAGATTATTCTGGAAAAACAGAGTAAACACATTGACCTGAACTTTCTCACTCATGTTACTAGTTCAGACCTACATTAGATGGTAAACAAATCTTGCAAAATATTTCCAGTTCTGTAACCTTAAAAGATGTCACAGGAGTCTCTTCACTTATCTGACATAGCATCAAGTATTACATAATTTGTTGCTTTACCAAAAAAATCTAAATCACGTTGTTTTCTTTTTGTAGATTGTTTTGTCATGTAACAGGAAATGCCAATGAGCAAGTAGTCATTGTTCCAAAGAGAAAACTGATCTAAACACAGGTTTGTTTGCATGCTTTTCTTTTTTTGTATTATATAAATCTATAATATAGTATCTGCAAATATACCTGTCACTAGATAATATAGTTGGGACAAATATTCCTGTCATTTGAAGAAATATTGTTTGGACAAATATACCTGTCCTTTGAAGAAATATACTTCGTACAAAGATACCTGTAATTTTAAGTGATATACATGTAGTTGGTACAAATATACCTGTCATTTTAAGTCATATAGTGAGTACAAATATACCTGTCATTTTAAGTGATATAGTTGGTACAAATATACCTGTCATTTGAAGTGATATATTTGGTACAAATATACCTGTCATTTGAAGTGATATAGTTGGTACAAATATACCTGTCATTTGAAGAAATATACTTCGTACAAAGATACCTGTAATTTTAAGTGATATACATGTAGTTGGTACAAATATACCTGTCATTTTAAGTCATATAGTGAGTACAAATATACCTGTCATTTTAAGTGATATAGTTGGTACAAATATACCTGTCATTTGAAGTGATATAGTTGGTACAAATATACCTGTCATTTTAAGTGATATAGTTGGTACAAATATACCTGTCATTTGAAGTGATATATTTGGTACAAATATACCTGTCATTTGAAGTGATATAGTTGGTACAAATATACCTGTAATTTGAAGTGATATAGTTGGTACAAATATACCTGTCATTTTAAGTGATATAGTTGGTACAAATATACCTGTCATTTGAAGTGATATATTTGGTACAAATATACCTGTCATTTGAAGTGATATAGTTGGTACAAATATACCTGTCATTTGAAGTGATATAGTTGGTACAAATATACCTGTAATTTGAAGTGATATAGTTGGTACAAATATACCTGTCATTTGAAGTGATATAGTTGGTACAAATATACCTGTCATGTGTAGTGATATAGTTGGTACAACGTCTATAATATTATTATAGAAGTTGAAATATGAAATTTATTCAAAACGGCTTATAATAAGTTTTTTTTTATATATATGATCAGCACATGTGCTGGGATTGATAAATATGCATTTTATTTGGATTTTAAAGGTGTTTTGAGCTCCACACCCCAAGTGTCTGTGCTTTGATGTACAGTCATGGAATTTTGGCCATGTGAAATATAACCTTCACCACCAAATTCACTAGACTCAACTGCATTGATAGATTCCTACTCTGATCTTTTATTTGAATAACAATAGATTTAACCACTAATCTGATAATAAGAATTAGATAGGTCAGTGATCTATGCATTATGGCAATCTTCAATTGTATGGAAACAAAAAATTCTGTTCCTACACTACTATTAAGTGTTGTATATGTGTTAATGCGGTGGCATAGCATTTTTCAGAAATGCAATCTTGTTTTTTTTTTTTTTTTTTTGGTCATGGTCAACCTTTTTGCTCAGAAATATTCACTTTAATCTTGGATATAGTCTTGTTCACTATCAATATTGAAATGCATTTCTAAAGGGCATGTAACATTGAAAGTTATTTTTGCTTACTTGGTAACCATTAAGGGCATGTAATTCTTCAAAGCAGTTTGGCAGAATTTTGTCCCCTTTTCTACTTTATCCAGAACTGAAAAAAGTAAAGAATGATGCGCCTTGGACAGCATTTATCTGATATTGATGGACATTTTTTCAGTTCTGTATATTGTATGAATATAACAATAAAAATCATACTGCTTGTCCGAACATCATTGAATAATTTCTTGTATCTCGTTACCAACATTGAGGTGTGTAAAATGTTATTTTTTGCATTTGGTCAGTGATGGGCTTCATCCTAATGGAAAAGGCATCTTGATTGAGAGTAAATCACACCATTGTGGCAACCTTTTGTTTACGTTGATTGAAGTGACATTGTTCCCATCCAAAAGTAAATGGTGAGTGTACTGGTGAAAGTCAAAATAACAATAA